AAAAAAAAAAAAAAAAAAAAAGAAAGAAAGAAAAAGGAAAAAGACAAAGAAACTAGGCAAAAAAGGCAAAGAGTTAAAAACTAACATGTACTATATCAAGTCTTGCTGCTTAGCAATCAAATGTAAGTAATTTTGGGCCAGGTATTTAGCTCAGTGGTTCCGCTGGCTGCCTTGTAAGCACAAGGACCCAAGTTTGATCGCCAGTACCAAAGAAAAAAAGAAAGTAATTTCATAAGAAATAATTCACTCAGAAGCTCATCCTAAAAGTTCCTTTATTATTGGTTTCTGAATATATCAAGAAAAAAATTCTTTAAATGAAAACAGGAATAAACAATCACCAATCATCAAGAAAAATTATTACACTGGAAAAATAAAAATGTACAGTCATGATCCCTGTGCTAAGAGAAATGATCCAGATGTTTCTACAACTGTTACACTGGCCTTTTTACCCCTGCAGCCAAATTATCAGACCTTGCACACAAAACAGATAAAATATATCCATGTGAGTTATAATTATTAGGCCAAAGTTTCACTGAAAAGATAAAAGAACAAACTAAAAACCTAAGAATGCACATTTACAGGACTGCTGTGGACAGAATGGATGAAAACATCTGAGAAAAATGTCCCAAAGTTAATAAAGTAATAAGGAAGTCACATGGACAAATGACAGTAAAGGATTCTTCCCCCTAAAATCATCTTTTTTTTTCCCCACTGTAATCTATTTCCTATTAGAGAAAAAAAAAGGCATTTCATCAGAATTCCAGCTACTGGATTACCTAAAGACACAATGGTAACTTAGCCTATAATTCCAGAAGGAAAAAGAGCAGCACACAGGATACAAACATTTGCTAATGTATATCTCTAAAGACACAGGAATATAGAAAAGTGAGTAAAGGATTAAGAGAATAATTCAAAGAAAATACTAAAGGCTCTGAAAAAATAAAATTATGTTAAATTAAACGTAAAATAAAACTGAGATAATACTTTCCACCAGATTAAGCGAAATCTGAAAGTTTGATAGCATACTGCTGTCAACAATCAAAGGAAACCAGAAGTCTCATATATTGCTGATGTGAATATAAACTGTACAACTTTTGTGCAATATAACTAGATAATATTTATCAAAACTAAAAGCAATCCTCCTTTGTACAGAGGGGAGAGTAAAGGGGGTGAAGGAGGGCATGGGGATGGGGAAAAAAATGAGAACCAAGACCTGTCACGTAAAGGTACAAGATCCCAATGATGAATGTAACTGTACTGCATACCTAAAATGTACCAATAAACTGAATGAAAACAAATAAATAAATAAAATAAAGGCAATCTTCTTCTCAAAATCTACCCTATACATGGCATGAGTACAGGGCTATTTGTGGCACAATATTGGCCATCACAGCACAAGATTAGAAACAACTTCCTTCAACAGAAAATGGCTAAAAAAATTGTACATCCATGAAAAAGAATACTATGATGAGCCAGGCATGGTGGCTCACATCTGTAATCCCAGCGGTTGGGAGGCATGGGCAGGAGGATTGCCACGAGTTTGAGGACAACCTGAGCTACATAATGAGTTCAACCTGAACTATAAAGAGAACCCTGCCTCAAAAAGACAAAAACAAACAAAAAAAGAAAACTGTGGTGGTGGTGATGATAATGCAAGAGGAGGAGGACAAAAAAGAAAAAAAAAAGGAAGAGAAGGAAGGGAAAGATGACGGGGAGGAAGGAAAAAAAAAAAGCAGCAGAAGAGGAGGAGGAGGAAACTTTGTGTTCATAAATGGAAAAGTATCTAAGAACCAAAGTATAAGTAAACAAACAAAAACCAGGTCCAGAAGACTGAGTATAGTTAACAAAAAAAGGGGTAACATATTTGTATTTACTCATATTTTCCAAAAGGAATCGCAGAACAATACACAGTAACAAAACTGGTTATAAAAGGAAAATGGTGACTTACCTTTACGTATTTTGAAGTTTGTGAGTGTGAAATAAAAAAACTCAAAAATTTAAATTAAAAGTTAAATAAGCTTATCAAAAAGAACTTCCACAAGTAGTGCCAGATTTAGAAAAAAAAGAAACACAACTTCCTTACATTTTTCTACTTAAGTCAATTTCCCTGCAAAGACTACTAAATGAGCTGACTGTGTGATTGCCAAATGAAATCAGACTACAAACAGAACAGGCCAAAATATAAAATTAGAAAAGCAAGACTTTCCTCACAAGTACCCACCTTGGCTTGCTTCTTGGCTTGCTTCTTTGCTTTTTTCTGTAAGTGCTTGCTTGTTCCTGAATGAATCTCTTTTCTCTCTTTTATGTAACTATCGTTATCTTTCTCTTCCTCGCTGTCTTTACTGTCATCCTCCACTGTCTTTTTCAGATTTTTATCATTTATACTTTTCTTAACACTCTTAACATATGGAAAAAATATGGGTTAAAAGCAAAATTTTACAACTAGCATGTGGTGAAAAGAAAACTCATGTTATCTAAAAGTTTCTTCTACTTCTATTTCACACCAGTTTTATTTCACCAACATTTGAACGTGTACTTAGGACAAAATTCATTTATCTCATATACTGGAGAGCAAGTTTCACACACTGGGAAAAATGAGCAAACAAAACATCAAAAGGCCAATTTTATTTTGTTTTGTTGTTTGTTTGGTATTGGGGATCAAACTTGGCTCCTTGCGATTGCAAGGCAGGCAGTGGAACCACTGAGATAAATCCCCGACCCAAAAGGCCAATTTTAAATGCAAGTGTAATAACAGAAAGGAATGGACTGAATTATATTAGATATATGAGGTATCACACTGTAAACATGTCCCTTTCTAAATGCACTTTACGTTTATAAGTGATTTATGTATCATGCCACACATATTGTTCTTTTTTCTTTCCTTGCATATAAATGATGTTACAGAAAGACAAAATCACGTTTGGTGAGACAAGTCACTAATAGGGCAAAGGCTTCTAATTCATATTAAGTTTAATAATAATGTACACAAAACTGGAATATGTTCTTTTTTCCTACAACTGCTTAAAAGGAAACAAATTAATCTGGTTTAAAACGGACATAATACTATTTAACATTTATGCCTTAATTTTGCAAGAGACTTATATTCTTAAATAATGAAAGTAAATAGTAATATGTGAAAAATACATCATTACATATAAACAAACAAGTTAACTACTTATAAAGAATTTCAGACATAGCATCGTCTTTTTTGTTTTTCTACATTAACCTCTTTTCTTAAAGAATCTAACCTATTCTTTATTCAAATCCTAAATATTGTTTATGTCAATTAGACTGATCAAATTTTCTCCACGGTCTAGGAATATGTAAATATGAAAAGGGTAACAAGGCTTCCCACATAAAATCTAACAGGGGCAAAAAAAAAATACATATCTACTTAATAAAATAAACTCAATAGTCTTACCTGATCATCTAAAACTGGAAGAGACAAATCAAGGAAAGATTCATGAACCAAGGAGACCTTAATCAACCAAAAAAGAAAATATTAAAGGAAGGAAGAAATTCACATGAAACATTACATACTAGGGGAGGTAGGATGGGAAATAGGTTTTAATAAACAAAGGATTATGAAAAGTTGAAATAAAATTATACAGCAGTGAGGACTATGAGTTAGGGGAAATAAATTAAAATGCTAAAGTAACTTCTTCAAGATTTTAGGAGCTAATATTTCCAGCAAAGAATAAGACACAATTGATCTGTTCAACAAAGAATACTCTGTGAAGTTACACGTCTGGTTTTTTTGCTGATATTGGGGATTGAACTTAGGACCTTGCACTTTTCAGACAGGCACGGTGCCACTGAGCTAAATCCCTAGCTAGACATTTGTTTTTGAAAGGAACAACTGATACACTATAACCAATGCATATTAATAAATCCAGGCCACATTTATCCACTTACAGTCCTGCATTCATAACACATGATTGTACTAGTTAATTCACCACCAAAGATGCGATCCACAAAACTTGGTACTGATTTTTTCTTTTCATAATCTATAAAGAAAAAAATTCACAATTAGCGAAAAAAGTGAAAACTACTAACCTAACTCTAAAATTTCTGTCCCATAAACTTTTCTCTATCCATAGTCACCATTTTATTTGTATGCTATAGGAGTCAGCAGTAAATGCTCTACCTCTGAGCACAACACAATTTAATAATCACCCTTTATACATAAGGAAAAAAATGCTTTTATCCCAGATTAGTCAGTGTAAAACACTGCAACTCAGCAAGCCTTTCTATATATCAATAACTCCATCAGCAAAATGATCAGATCAGAATAAGATAATATACTCCCTTGATCTAGCTCTAACAGTTTAACATTCAGTAATGCACTGACAAAAGATTCTGTAATAGCAAATTTGGGAGACAAAAGTGAATGTAATATGCTTTGTAAATGTCTTTTATACTTAAAAAAAAAATCCACAGGAAAATATTTCAGAACCAGGCCTGTAATCCCAGTACTCAGGAGGCTGAGACAGGAACACTGTATTGTTGTAAATTCAATGCCAGACTGGGCTACACAGTGAATTCAAGGTCAGCCTGACTCTATCTCAAAAATATAAAAAATAAAAATAAAAGAAAAAACCAACAATAACATTTCAGGCCAAATCTTCTTTTTGGGTTTTCTATGTTCCCAGAAATGATCTGAAATTTAATGTACGGTGACATAAATTTATTTCCTAATCACCTAATTTTCCAAATATATGAAATATATAAGCATAGTCAAATGACAGGTATCCATTTATGCAAACACATTTAGGCCAAATGGTGCTAGCAGCTATGATTCTCTGGTAGTGGTCAGGTTCTAAATAGGAGGAAGAGTTGCCTTGAATTGACTGGAACCAGGGCTTTACAACAATAGTAATGCTTAGGTATGCCCATTTAAATTTAATTAAAATTAAATGAAAATTTAGTTCATCAGTTTCTTTAGTCATATTTTAAGTGCTCAACAACGTAACTAGCACCTCTAATACAGTACGGTGTACATATGAGTTCCATCAACACGGTAAGTTGTCCACATCGAACTGTCCAAAATTTTTACATGTCACACAGCACTGAAAACTAAGTTGGCTCCATAATTAATAACCAGCTACTGACAACTCATACAAGTGTGATGCATGTATTACTGCTAATGATAATTCTTAACTCCTTCAAAAAGAAAACTGTAATGTCATCCTAGTTCTTTCTATAAATTTTACAATGCATAAAAAGTATATATCACAAATGAATTTTTCTAAAATATTCATCTTTGAAGTACTAAATATTTTTCTAAAACTAATGGTGATATAAAGAAATTATATATTAATAATTGTAGATTTGAAATACATGTGCCAGCCATCTTGTCCTAAAGTTACAGAGGAATTCAACTGTAGTGTTTTAGTTCAAAAAGTGAGACATTACCTTTAACTTTATTTTTTAGTTCTTCATCCAATTTTTCAGTAGAATTACCAAATGCTTTAAGAATTCCTTTACTCACTCTCTAAAAGTAATAAAATGGATATATATATACTATTAAATTTTTAATGTTATAGTTATTTTCCTTAGAATATATGTAATCAAGAAAGGCTCAAGATGTAGCTCTCCAGATTTACTGAAATAAAAACTGTTTCCAAGATCACATTAATTAATTTAAGGAGGTAAGAAGAATTGTGCCTATAAAGTATTCCCTAACGCTTGAATAAAGGTACTTATTATTTCAAGGCCTTAAACATACTCACACTGAAGCTTTTCTGAACATGCCCACCTCACCGCCTTAGCAAAGACAGTGAGGTATCTTGTCCTAGATGCAGAGTGGCTACTTAAGAACTACAGGTACTGATTCTAACACCCAGTATCAAGTTCCATCATTACTGGGTGTCCTTGAATTAAATTTCAATTCTAACCTCTACACCTAGCTTCAGAATCTATGGGCTGAGAATAACAACATCTACCTCACAGGATGACTGTGAGAACTAAGTAAGATAATTCACATAAAACACAAACAGTGTTTGGCATAAAATAATGTAGAATTAAATATCAGCTGTTATCACCGTTGCTACTGTAATTATTAATTATATTCACATTCCCAACTATATTAATTCATTCACATCCTGGCAGTAAACAAAAACTTTTAAATGCAAAAAATGTTCCTTGATTCTTACAAAATGAAAATGCTTCCTAGATCTAAAGAAATTCTATTACATCACATTCAGTAAAAAAGTAAGGTTGTGCTACAACTGGGAATTGTTTTGGGAGAAATGGTTTCAAAGACTGCAGTTTTCCTGGTATAGGCTAATCAACAGAACCCTTAAAGAAAAATTATTGCCCAAAACAGCAAGTAAACTAAAGCATCTAAAAAAAGTGAATCATTTCTAATTCTCTTGATTTATTCTATTGAAGAAAAGATATTAGGTGAAAAAGCCAGTGCAGAAAAAAAGTAAAAATACAATGGCCTCAATGACTAGCTTCTACAGCATTAATAACCCTCAGGATGGCCAGTGGCAGGCGAGCTCATGAGATGAGATTATGTATAAAATACGACGGTCATAATATGCTAACTTGGTGCTCTTCTGCTCTCATGCCATCCAATAAATAGCGGAGTAGTTCCTGGCTGTCTTGCTGCTGGTAGCCTCTAAACCGCACTGCCCTACAGAAAAACAAAGGAGGAAAGAAAATGACGGGTCTACTAAAATATGAAGCTATTTTTTAAAATCTTTGGCTCATACCCCAAATATCACAATGCTCTAGTTTTCTCAAATCTCTATTTAATCTAATAAATGCTCTTAGAAGATTCAGTTATAACATAATGTACATTTCTTTAAATCTGAATGAAATAAATTGTGCTTTCAAAAACATACTTACTGGGCTGACTAATGCTACTAATTTTTCACATTATTTCTTAGCATCTTACTGATATACTGAAAAGTACAGTCAAGAGGATACTCACTTTTTACAGACCTGAGTAAAGAGTTCTTTAGGTGTGACAATTCCCTTCTTGGTCTCTTGCATCTCATTAAGAAACTGGCTCATGGCTAAAGTAAGAGGGCCAGGAGGCTCAAGGTTTATTTCTAGGGGTTCCTGAATATGGTGAAAGAAAATTATTTTTGTCAGGCAAATTTTGGTACCATTTACTTTACCAAAACCTAACTAGTTACACTGCCAACATACCAATTACAACTGTCCATTTTAAAAGTTTGAAATGTATATCAAAATATATAGAAGCTCAAGCCAGGCGTGGTGGCACATGCCTGTAATCCCAGCACTCAGGAGGCTGAGGCAGGAGGATCACTGTGAGTTCGAGACCAGACTGGGCTACATAGTGAGTTCCAGGTCAGTCTCAACTACATAGAAAGACCCTGTCTGGAAAAAACAAAAAACAAAAAACAAACTATATATATATATATATATATATATAAGCTCACTATCTTAGGAAGGTATCAGCTCTTATTTCAATTTTAGATGATCAGGAACTTACTGCTAAGAACTGAAAGAGCTACAGCAAAACATAAATAATAAAAATGGGTAAGGCAGAATTCATTTGACTACACTGCATTTAAGTCATCTTAAAAGATGCTGAGAATAAAGGCAGGCTCTGGGTTCACAGCATCACTTCACAAAAAGGAAGCGGCACATGGCAAATGTGCAGCAAAAAATGTAAAGACTACTTATAATTTCTATGAACCTGAAAATGTTTAATTTAGTATCCAAAAAGAAAAAAAAAACTCAAAAAAGTAGAAATGTTTCACTTCTTTAAAATAATTTTAGTATATGGATATTCAGAGGAATGTTACTATTAAAACAAAAATTTTAAAGCACATACTGTTAGTGCCAAATCAGGTGGTTCAATTTTTATAATTGCTCCAGACATTTTCACTTCTTTTAGCAGTTCTCGAAGCACTGGTGTTTGTGACAAATTCTAGGAGGATGGATGGAAAAAGAAAAGGAAAATTACATAAAAGCAAATCAACTGATGAAAATTATTTAAGTGTGTATTCTGTTTAAACAAGAAATCACAACTAGCACAGAAATCTTCATTGCAAACTAAAGGTTAAGGCATACTCTTCTCCCCACTTTATTTGGCTATATCAGTTCTGAGCTTATTCATTACTTCAGAGGGACATTCTCTTATCACCCAGTACAAAATAGTGACCCCACATCCCCACCACAATTCTCTTACCACCACTTATCACATCTGGTAAACAACATACTAGCTTCTGTACTCATAGGCAGGAGTTATGACTGTTCTAACTGAACCCCTTTTGCCGATGGTCACCACAATGGTTTGTCAACATGCAATAAAGATTTCCTTGGTGTTACTCTGAATACATGGAAATACATGGGGTGAGGGGACTGCAATAACGTAGGTAACAGACCTTCTGGGGGAAAAGGTTAGGTTTTTAGAAAGGGGAAAAAGCGATGCTGGCACCTGCATAACTGCATTGAAGAAACATGTATTTCCCAAATTACTGAGTCCTTTCACTGTAATTTGGGAAGTAGAATTCATGGGAAGATTTTCTTTAGCCATGTTTTCCTTTTTTTCTCTCTCCTGCTCATTTTTACTTTCTTTTTCTAATTTTTTATTTTCAAGTTCAATGTTCCCATTATCTTTCAATGCTTTAAAAAAAAAAAATCAAAGTTTTGGTAAAATATATAATACAGCTATATCAATCACATACTTAATACTAGGAACAGACTGAGTAAATTGTTGATTTTTATCTAATGTAATTATTAGTCACCAAATTGATTTTAAATGTTATCTAATAAATGCAAGTAAATTACCATGAACATAAACAATAAACAAATATTTCTGACATAAGAATTAATTTGCCAAAAGAAATCAAACAGTGTATGCTTTGGTTATCTTCCTGTGACATAAAAACTGTACAAATGGCGTAGCTTGCCTTCTGAAATTAGAAGATGAAATAATCAAATGGACGTGAATTTTTAAGTGAATTTCATGGGCCAAAAACTAATTCTGAAGTAACAAATAATTACAGCTCTGATAAAGACATTTGTGACTAAACATCTAAGGAACAAGCTTAACATGTTCCTGCTGCTGAGAGAGTCATGCATGTACCACTGGCAGTTCAAGCTGGCTAAAGTTAACATGTTCAAATCAGAGTCCCTGGCAGTGAGACATGATGACAGCCCATTATGAATGTGTTAAAGCAAATGCTGTAATCAAGTCAATTACTGTAACTACAAGTAGAAAAAACCTGCAAAGTATCTGAGGAAATACAAATCTTTATTTAGAAGATAAGACTGGAATCTTTCTATTACAAAATTCATCACAGTAAATTCAGAAGAAAGCAGGTCTACAAGGTCCTGGCCAGGGTTGGGGTATTGAGCCTGCTGCCCAGAACCTTAGTCCAGGACTTTTTTATATGAAACTACATCACCTCTCACATTCCTTCTAACAGTTAACTCATAACTATTCATATTTTCAGTTTTGCGTTGTGAACCATAATTGTTTCATAGCTTAAAATCAACCATAACTAATATTATGTATGTAATTCTAGGTAGTAAAATAAATAATTCTAAAATAATTCTAAATACCAACAGATACAGTACATAAATATTACAATATTCACTAAGAAACAAATTACTTTACCTAGTTTTGGAGTTGTAGCGCTGGCTTGTTTTTTAATATAATCAACCACTTGGCCCAATCGGCTTGAACTGCAATACTGGACTTCAGTATCACATATGTAACACCTACATCCCAAAAGATCAAAGAAGAAAAATGACAAACTGACCACTAAAAAAAGGAGAGGCACCGGCCAGGGATTTAGCTCAGTGGTTCTTGCCTGCCTCACAAGCACAAGGGCCCGAGTTCGAATGCCAGTACCCCAAAAACAAGGAGAGGCAAAAAATAATTCCTGGAACCCAAAGTGTATAATTCCAAATTATTCTATTAGAGGGAATGGGGGATATAGCTCAGCAGCGGTCCCAAGTTCAATCCCCAGTACCAGGAAGGGAGGAAGGAAGGGAGGAAGTAAGGACAGACACAAAAAAGATGTATTAGAAACACAGAAGGAGAACAAAATGGCATAGCAGCGGTCAGCAGCCTCTCCATGACCTGGAATCAGACATCTAGAAAATGACAACTTGACAAAAAGAAAAAAGAAATAGATCTCTGGGAATTAGGAGGGAACTAACAGGAAAGTTACAAACTACAGAGAAGGTAGAGGAATGACGCACAGTGCAGAAAAAAGAACAAAGCCGTCCTGAAGCTCATGCGGCTTCCAAGGAGAGGAAGGTATCTCCACCCACAGGGGTCAGCCCCCAGGGTTGGGAGCTTCAGAACAATGCACAGGACCAGCAGCACTGTCCCCAAGAAAAGCCCACAGCTACTGTAAACTTCAAAGACAGCGAGAGTTTTTTACTCAATCTAAATGTTAAAGCAGAAACTCTTAATCTGCTAGAAGATAAAATAGGTTAAAACCCTTGAAGACAGAGGTGAGGTCAAAGACTTTCTGAACAGAACCCCCCATCACACAAGAAATAATACCAAGAATCAACAAATAAGACTGTATCAAATTCAAAAGCTTCGCCACAGGAAAGGAAACAACCTATAAAATGAAGAGACAACCTACAGAATGGGGAAAAAAATTTTGGCAGCTCTTCATTGAATAAAAGACTAATATGTAGAATTTATAAAGAACTCAAAAAAAAAAAAAATAGATCCCATCCCCAAATTTAAAACTCCAATCAAAGAACAGGCAACTGAAATGGACACTTCTTAGAAAAAATGCAAACGGCCAACAAACACATGAAAAAATGTTCAATATCTCTGGCCATTACTTTTTTCTTTTTTTATTTTTTGCAGTATTTGGAACATAGGTCCTTCACAATGAAATGTGTTGATGTGTTTACTTTCAAGCATGGCCTCACTAAGTCACTAACTTGACAGGCTGACTTCGAACTTGAGCTCTTCCTGTCTCAGACTCCCATTATGCTGGGATTACAGGTGTGCAACACCATGCCAAATTTACAAGCTATACAATTATTTTTGTTTGTACAGCACCAAGCAAAACTTTGTATCACATGTTCCACCTTCTTTGATGGTACACAAATACTTTTTAAAAGATTAACCTTCTTTCTTCTTAAACATTTTCAGGGCCGGGGATTTAGCTTAATGGTTCCGTTGTCTGCCTCGCAAGCACAAGGACCTGAGTTCAATCCCCGGTACCAAAAAAAAAAAAAATTCAGATTACATTCTCCAATATTTCATATACTTTCCATCCAAGGGGTACAGGAATTGATCCTCACCAGACACTCCAGTTGTCCAAACTGAGAACAAGACAGTGAGACTCAGATCTTGGTATCATGTAGTGCTTCAAGGCATGCTTCTCCTGAGAATTTCTGCCACAGCCCTAGAGAATGATGAACAAAAACCTCAGTCACAAAATTCACCAAAAGAGAGAATTCATAATCTATCATAAATATACAAGTACCTCAAGAACATTTGTCATTCTTAACAATCTTTTCAGCTTAATGTTCCTAAAAGAAAGCTCAGTTCATATGGACAAAATTGACCCCCTCTGTCCCCAGTCTAGTTTCCCAGCTTTAACTCCTACCGTCTTCTAGGTCTCCTACTCACATACCAACTACCAGCTAAAAACACACTCAGCACTTTCACAATGGGCAGGATTCTATTCATGTTAATCCATCTGTCCTGGATCCTTCATTATAACTGCCACATGATCAAATCCCACCTACTCTTCAGGACCTTGTTCAAAGCCATCTTCTCCCAGAAGCCCATGCTTTTTCTCCCAATGAGAAAATACTGTATCCTTCCTGCAAACAAATCCCTACAAAGCATGGTGCAAATTCCTAGTAGCATTCCTTATTTTCTATTTTTTATTAAAGTTCATATCATTTGGCTGGGAACTTAGTTCAGTGGTTTCACCAAGTACCTCAGAAGCACAAGGTCCTGAGTTCAATCCCCAGTACCGAAAGAAAGAAAGAAAGTTAGTTCATATACTTTCTCATCTGGACTGTAAATCTCAAGATAATAGAATTACCAAGGGCTGGGGATTTAGCTCAGTGGTTCTGCCACCTGCCTTGCAAGCGTAAGGACTTGAGTTAGATCCCCAGTACAAAAAAAAAAAATTTAATAGAATTACTTTATTACCATAGATCTATCAGACAGGAAGGGGGCTAATAAGCATTAATTGAACAATCTACTCAAGTGGTACAGAAAACGTTCACCTAAAAGGTATATAAACTCACCCATAAAAAAATGAGGTAACTCTGCCTCCCACTGTTACTAGTAATCTCCAAAAACTAGCACCTGGCAAGATGGCACACACACCTGTAATCTTAGCTATTTGGGAGGCTGAAGCAAGAGGATGGCAAGTGTGCGGAAGCCTGGACAACCAGTGGAGACCCTGTCTCAAAATTTAAATGTGGGGGATTTGTGCTGTGGTTGCAACTCAGTGATGGAGCACATATCTAGTATGCATGAAGCCCTGGGTTAAATCTCTGTACTGAAAGAAGGAAAATAAAAAGCAGTGAGGAGTTTAAAAAAAAAAAAACTTGATTCATATGATTTGAGTAAATCTTCAGGTGATTTTTTTTTTTTTTTGGAGACAAGGTCTCACTGTACAGTTCAGGCTGGCCTTGAACTCACTATGTAGTCCAGGATGGCCTCACATTCGCAGCAATCCTCCTGCTTCAGCCTCCCAAGTGCTGGGATTATAGGCATGCACCACCACACCTGACTTATACTGAGTGAAAAAAAGCCTATACAAAAATGTTGCATACACCTGGAGGTGGTGGGACACACCTGTAATCCCAGAATTTAGGAGGCTGAGGCAGGAGAATCATCCTGAGTTCAAGGCCACTCCTAGTTGCATAGTGAGTTGAAGGCCACCTGAAATACATAGCAAGACCCTGTTTCAAAAAACAAAACAAAAAAGAGTTACATACTGTATCATCCCATTTATATACTTTTTTTTTTTTTTTTTGGAGACAGATGTCTCTATGTAGTCCAGGCTGGCCTTGAAGTCAGTGATCCTCCTGCCTCAGCCTCCCAAGTGCTGGGATTACAAACATGCACCATGTCTGGCATTATATAAAATTTCTGAAATGAAATTCTAGATACAGAACAGACTGATGCTTGGGCCTGGGAAGAGGGGTAGCAGCAGAGCTGTGGGTATAATTATAAAAGGGCAACAAAAGAGATCTATGTGATGCTGAAACTCTAAGTATCCTTAATGTGGTGGTGAGGACCAACCTACAGGGTGACGAAATGTAAAGAATGTTATATACACATAGACCACATAGACACAAAGAAAGAGGAAAAATAGGAAATATAAGTACCCTTAATGGAAGGGAGATGGCTTGCTTCCCCTCCACTACCACCTGTCCAGTGCAGACCACACTCAATGACCAGTCTCTGCACAGATACAAAGACCTGGTCCCTTGTCTCAGTTCAGAGCACCTCTCTAAGGCCAGAGTCCACTGTGCCATTGGATGAGACACTGTTCTACCTGCTTTATCATTCGAATTCCTTGCTTAATTGTGCTTCCTAGCTTTGACTGGCATGGTACCTGAGAACACTCCCCAGTAAACTATCCATACACAAATTTTTTTGGTACTGGGGATCGAACTCAGGACCTTCCACTTGTGAGGCAGTAGCACCACTGAGCTAAATCTCCCACCCTCCATACACAAATCTTTATCTCACAGTCAGCTCCCCAGAGAATATAACCTATATCATTTGGCACCCTATTCATCCATACAATACTTTTAGGTATACTTTCTAAGTAAAATAAGTTCAAAGAGCTTTCTAAAATACCATATTAAACAAAATTTAAGCATACCTGATGGCCACATTTAAGACACAGCCAAACTGAAGGATTTTCTTCTGTGTCTTCTTCAGATTTATCTTTTACTTTATTGTCCATCTTACAATCTTGGCAAATATTCCATTCCACATCCACTAAAGCCTTTTTCAAATTACCTTGTTCCAATCCTTTTCTAATGTGTCTACATACAGGTTCTATTAAAATAAAACAGAAAATATATGGGGTCAAAAATAGCTTTTTATTCATTTAATGTCCAAATTTCAAAAATGAATTACTCTATAAACAAGGTTTTAGATTATTAGAATGAAATCTTGTCTGTTATTTAAATATTATGGGATAATTATGTTTTGGTGTTGGGTGATAATTAGTAGCGAACATAGGGCATTCCACAGGCCATGCAAGTGTTCTACCACTAATCTATATATAACCCTGGCCTCTGAGAAAAAGATTTTATACAGATTTTAAATTTGGCTTGTTGGAAGTCCTATGTAGAAGTACCATTACCCCTATAAATTCACTTCAACTTATTTGGCTATTTTCTTTAAATTAAGAGCATTTATCATATTTCTGATCTTTATCTGAAAAGGGTTGAAGAGAAGGTTCTTCAGTCAACCTCCTGCAGGCGAGGCAACAGGCTAGAAGCCAGGGAACTTAAAAGTGACCAAGCCACTCCACTTCTCCTTGAGTAGCTCACATTCTGATAGAGGTCACATTCTCAGTAGCTCACAGCTGACTAATGTATCACAGTGTATAACACATAAAATAGCATCAAAGAGAAGGCTAAAGTTGTCAATAAAAATCTGATACTGAGTAAACACTGTATCAAGAGAAGAACTGGACAGTTAACAGTTAACAATGATGTGTTTATTTTTCTTGTGTTCATAACATTAAAAAGTTAAATTTTATCTAAATCTGTAACATTAGAGAATTAAATAAGTAAATTATGAAGTATACACACATTGTCCTTTATATCAATGGAATAGTATGCTATCAAAAATGCTGTAAATAACAACCAAGACCTGTCATGTAAAGGTACAAGAGCCCAATGATGAATGTAACTGTATTGTATACCTAAAATGTACCAATAAACTCAATGAGAAAAAAATAATGCTGTAAGACCAATAAGTGACATGTCAACATAACACTAAAATGGAGAGTATAAAACAAAACACACTTTGAATCCCATTTTTATATTTTAAAATATCCACTTAGGTACATAAATATAAAGATTCAATAGTGAAATATACCTAAGGATTCAGAGGAATCATCAACTGGAACAGTTTTTCCCTTTGTCCGTTTCTTCCCCATGCTGGCACTTTATGGATTACTTACTGACACAAAGTAACAATCTAGAAAACAAGATTAAGTTAGCTTGACCAAAAATAAAAAGTATGTTTTACATTGCTCTAGAAGGCAAAAGTAACACAGCCACACAATATTGTGCAGGTCTATCACACTATAATTTACAAAGAACACTGACAAGTATATCTAATTTTTAACAACTTTTAATAGATAGCATAGTGTCGTCACCATTTTTCATAGGTTGGGGAAATGGTTCTCAGCAAAATTAAGAGGTTTTCAATAAATACAAAAGTCAAGAGAGAGCTTCAGTCTTTTTACACAGATCCTGAAAAGTCTCAGCACTTGACACTTGTAGGAATTCAACTCATCACTGCATAAATTAAAAAATAATTCTGAAAACCTTCTAAATGGAGTTAGAAAATCTGCAAAAGAATTTCAAAGCTAACTATAAATATTAAAAAACATGATACATATTTTTATGCAGCAGAATTCCTGTAAATATTGCTTGACCACTTATTCAAACTGTATTCTACTATTTACATTATTATATTTTTGCCCAAACAAATTTGGAAGGCTATATGGCAAATCTAGCTGCACATCAAATCTTTCTCTCTCTCTCTCTCTCTCTCTCTCTCTCTCTCTCTCTCTCTCTTCTTTCTTTCTTTGGTACCAGGTATCAAACTCGGGCCCTTGCATGTCAGAATCACTGAGCTAAATCCCCAGCCTCAAATCTTAACACTTTAGTCAACAATTCAAATTCAGAAAACATAAAAAGCGCTGAAAGAACATAAGAGGTCTAATTTCAAATAGTATTAATGATTTTGAAGGACTATTTTGTACTAACTTGTTAGTACCAAAATCTCTTAAACAACTATAAGTCATTTTACCTGAGATGTTTATTAAAATTCTTTATTCCATTAAGTAGAAAATAGGGCCTAGAGAAAACATTTCCAGTTAATTTTTTGTTTTCTTTTGTTTTGTTTTTTGAGATGAGGGCAGTGCTTTGAATCAAACCCAGAGTCTCAGGTTAAGTTTTCTACCACTAAGCTGCATCACTACTTTCAGGTAATCTGATCATTAGCTGTCATCACATCCCTGGCTGAGAGTCTGTGAGGGACACCTCTGCTGGATCTTGATGGGTAAGTGCAATTAAAGACAATTCAAAAGATTTGTATAAAAAAATAAGAGCAACACCAAGTAATTAACCATTCCAAAGAAACCTGAAATGTTATAAAATAAATGATTAAAGTTATACAAAGCATATGGTGACATATAAAAAGAGGTACATTTTGTTTCCTTTCTTCAAAGATAACATTTAATGTAATTTATATTACCAAGAACTGTAGATTCTATGAAAAAATAGGACCCAAGTTCTTGCCTCCAATTCAACTCTCTCTAATCTGTTCTGTATTCAAGTGCCAGGTTCATTTTCCAATAATGCCATTTTATCAAATCACTTTTTGATTGAAAGCATGATAGTTTCCAAGTCCATATTCTTGAACTCTACAGTCACTGTCCATTGTAATTTGGCTTCTATGCTTTGGCAATACTCTCACTACTCCCCCCTCAAAATTACTAAAGTTCAATTAGATGATACTTTTAATCTTCAAAACGCTTCCATAAATATTATCACATCTGATTCTCACAACTCTTTAAATGGGGCACTTCACTAAAGAAACTCAGAAACAAAATGTAAAAGATTGCAGGGTGACAGAAATGTAAGAAAAATGCAGATCTCTGGATTCCAAGACTAGTATTCTTTTGTCTTCCAATCTAAACTATCTCTTCAGTATCCTCTATGCCAGTGATGGTGAACCTTTTAGAGATAAATGCCCAAACTGCAACCCAAAACCCACTTATTTATCAAGAAATGGCAACACTGCAATTAAACCTGAATACTGAGGTTTAAGTTCAGGGGGAAAATAAAACTCATACATTAGTATAATCTCTCTAAAAAGAAAAACAAATAACACGTGTCATAGGTTCACCACCACTGCTCTAAACCAAAACAGCTTGACTCCATTCTGTGCCTTTGATTTTTAACTGAGATACTTTCCCCATCTGTCCAAATCTTACCAATCCTCCAAGCTCTCTATTTCAATGAAGCTTTACCCTTCACTCATTAAAACTCTCCACTGAACCTCTCCAGTGTTTATAGTATGCACTATTCATCTTCTCTCTTTGTGAGATACTATGGGAGACTACTTAATTCTTCAGTCTAAACATATGTTATTTTTCCTCTCCGCAATCTTAATTTCCAGGAGAAAGAAATGTTTCTAGGCAAAACTTCTGAGTTGCCTATAGCATTCAGCGTAGCGTTAGTAGATAGTAATTTCTCAGATAATACTTCTGGAATTGAAATAGAAAAGTAGAATAGTACCTGAGGCATAAAGGATGATTACAAGGTGCAAAGGTAGGTACTTAGGAATTGAGTAAACAAGTTCTGATGAAAAAGAAAAAGGTGAAGAATGAAGTCAGAAGCCTTCAGTACTGAAGACAGTACTAGTAAATCTGGTAATGAGGATTGCAGTAACTCAAACTCCAAAGGAAAACTTGAAAGGCGAATTGTAATTGCTGCAGGCAGAAGACATAAGGGATCATTTCAGTGCTGTGGAAAGAGCTCCGGTAAATGTGACAACTATAAAGGCAACTAATGAATCATGAAAAGAAAGTACTGTGTCACCAGCTATAAAACCCCAATACATCCATTAGATTTCTCAGGTGAATCTTTGGGCAAGAATAGTTAAATGTCTCTTTTCAAGACTCCACGCAAAAATTTAAATCAAGCCGGTCGTGGTGGTGAACGCCTGTTAATCCCAGAACTCGGACTGCCAGGAGTTCAAGGCTAGCCTGAGCTACAGTGAGTTTGAGGCCAGCCTGGATTGCATGGCGGGTCTCAGAAAGACAAAATAACCACAAAAATTTAAATAAAATCTAGACCTGCCAGCTTTCGTGCTAATCCAATTCCTTTCTTTCTCTGGCTTATCTCTGATACTCGGTTCCATTACAAATGAAAATGTGTGGAAAGTATTATCAGCACATCTTTCTTAAATGTGCTTTTCACATTTGTATATACTGCAGAAGTCCTAGGAGCATTCAATCAGACAGCGGACAGATCTTAATTCTCCTACTAACCACATGGACGCAGCTGCAAGTCCAGCTCAAGGCACAGGGAGCTCCTTGTCTCGAGGCCAGCCGCCCACCTCCTCTCCTGGCGCCTGCCACAACATACCTTCCTCCCACTCCCCCTCCTTCCCTCCCCTTCCATTTTCTGGGCATCCAAGGGGTCAACGGGTCAAGGAGGACTCCAGCAACAGCAATTCATTGGCCAGCTCCTGGAATTGCCAGAACGTGCAGCCATCGAGACAATGCTACAGGAAGAGAGAGCGTAAAAAACACGCTTCAAAGAGAGGCCTTCCAGAAGAGAACAAATTTGGGGCAGAAATTACGGACTCTCCGAAAGCAGAAAGTTAGGCTAGTGGCGACAGCGAGTCGGTGGGACCAGAACTCACCCACAGCGACAGCGCCCATAACTGCATCATCTAAAGGGACCTTTGGTCAGGGTAGCCAGCTCTGTCTTCCTCCTTGTGTCGAACAGACAGCGACAGAGCTGAATCCACAGGGACCGTAGAAAGCAGCAACTTCCGGAACGCGGCATTATGGGAAGCGACTCGGCCTAGGTCCCCAAACTCTTGCCGGTCAATCTGCGCCTGCGCGCAGTCGCGCCGGAAGTTCTGAATCACCGATTCTGAAGCGTTTGCCCCGTAGCGTTTTCTGGTGTGTGTAACTAAGGAGTTGTTTAAATCCCTTTGAAGCGTGGGTACCTTGCAGTGGTCTAAAGCTGGGAGCTCTCTGGGCGGTTATCTTTCTTAAATGTTACTTGTACAGCGTAGTTAAGACACGAACATTTTTAATTTCACTTACATCAATTCTGCCTTGTACACAAGTTATTTTTGTGTTACCCTCCTCCCCAACACCACCTGCCTATCCCGATCTGAAAGCCTGCTCGCTTTCAAGGAGAGTTGCTTTAATGGGCCAATCCTAGCCTCCACTAAGCAGGGTCTCCAGACAGCAGCAGCAGAAGCAGCTGGAAAATGCCAGTGGTGTTAGTTGGGAAGGAAGTGTGTAGGAATGAATACTTCAACTGAGCAGCACTAAGCAAGTAAATGAACTCTGGGGTTGAAAGCCCCAGGAAAACACAAGGCATCCGCCGACAGGAGGTCAGTCCACTTCCGGCTTCCGGGACTCGCTTGCCTTGCGCCCCTGGAAGAGCTCATTTCCCCTAGGCCGCCCTAGGGTAATGGTTTATAACCTTCAGTCCTTTGCTCTAGAATTTTGTCCCAAGAGCTTTACGTGTATCCAGGAAACTCGGGGTTACGGCAGTGAGGCAGCCACGACCGTAGGTGAGTTTTCCACGGATCAACAGCGAGTGGTAAGAGCGACTTGGGGAGGTACACGATCAGAGGCAGGGGAACCATCATCCGGGACTTGGCCGGCGCGATAGCTCCGCCTTCCTTTGCGCTGCTCGTCTGCTCATTGGTCAAAACGCTCTTGTTTCCTAGCTCCGCTTGCTCGCGGCCCAATCAGGTGTCAGGTGTGAGCGTTTGCGTGTAGGGCAATTTTTGGAGGGGGCAGCAAATTGCGCAGTAGGGAATACCTTACTGTTAAAAAAAAAAAAAAATCTGCGAGGAGAAATGACTCCATTCCGGAATCTAAAGTTTTACAGCAACCACTGAAATCGTTTCCGTTTCTTTGGAGGACTGAGACCATCGATGAAAATAATTTGGCAAGTAAGTAACTCACTTGTGACATCTCTCCCGTAGTTGTGCGTGAGTCGCTGTGTCCTGTATTGCAATTCATCCTCCAGACCTTAAGCCCATACGGAACCTTGTCCCAATTTCACTCACTCCGTGGATCATTTTAAACATGTACAGTACTGTGCAGGGGTTAAAGTGTTGATGACACCCAAAGTTGCAACTCCAGCCCCATAATTGTATTTCTACCTGCTGGACATCTCTGCCTAACAGTTTCCTTCATAGGCACTTTATTAATGTGTTGAAAACCAACTTCAGATTTCCACAATCATCCTCATCTAAATAAATAGCAAATTCATCCTTCTAGTAGCTTAGTCACTGGGGTCATTCTTACCCACTTGATGTAGTTCAGCGGTAAATCGTGTTGGCCCTACATTCTCCTACGTCTAGAGCCTGAATATCATTCTGCCTTTACCACTGCTCTCCCAATCCACGATCATTGCTAATCCAAGCTACCATCATTTCTACCAGGTCACTGCAATTCTCCTTTGCCTGCCCTGATTTCTCTGATGTTGTTCTCTGTAGTAGCATAAATTTTTCATACACTACCTGTATTTCCTCACCAACTTCTTCTTTTCCTCTATCCCAAGCTCACTCTTCTGTAGCCATCTGACCCAACACCTTCCTCCTCCAAGCCTTTGAACGTATTCTTCCCTTTACCTAGAACACTACCTAGGTAAATAAATATCTGGCTTTCTTTTTGGTCTTCTGAGTCCCCACAATCCCTTTTCCTGATAACCTTGTTTTCAATCTCACTTCTGTCTCACAGCTGTTAGTCTCATTATCGTCCTAAAAACCCAGTCTAGACTCTAATTTGCAATCCTGCCTCAGCTTCCCCAAGCGTTGGGGATCACAAATGTGTATTACCATGCCCTACTTGTCAGTCTTTGTAAGTTATTCATTGGGCAAATATATTTGTGGGTTTTTTTTAACTTTTTGCTTTTTTTTTTTTTTTTGAGACAAAATCTCACTATATAAGGTAGGCCTTGAACACACTATGTAGCCCAGGTTGGCCTGGAACTCACATTGATCCTCCTGCTTCAGACTTCTAAATGCTGGGATAATAGCACTCACCACCAGCAGAGTGCAGTGGTGCATTCCTGTAGCCTCGCACTTGGGAAGCTGAGGCAGAAGAATTGCCCTGAGCTACATGGTGAATTCAGGGATAGCCTAAACTAGTTAGTGAGACCTTGTCTCAAAGAAAAAAAGAAAGAAAAAATAATAATAGGTAGCCATGGTCACCCTAAAGAAACCTGTACAGGTTTGTTTTGTGTCACTAACCATTTCAGTAGCCTACTTAAGCATCAAATGCCTTTTGTAATTTTTTCCTCACAATAGCATTGACAACCTAGTGAAAGGTGTCTTAAGGATAACAGTTAAAGACACAATGGGATTAGGGGTGATGTGTTGATGTTAATTTATACTCTGGTCTGTGGAGACAGTCCAATGTGTGTAACAGTGCTTCTTCTTTTCCAGTTAATCCTCACAAATGAAACACCCACCACATTTAGTAGCTCCCATAATTCAGCATAATGTGTTTTTAGCAAAACCACTGCAATTAGTCTCCTATAAGTAATTTAAATTTCTTTCTGAGTAAAATAACTTTTTTTTATCTTTAAATATACCATATAGGGCCAGGGATTTAGCTCAGTGGTTCCACTGCCTGTCTCATAAGCACAAGGTCCGGAGTTTGATCCCCGTTACCAAAAAAATAATAATAATAAATAGAAGTACCATATAACAAGTCTGGTGTGTTAGCACACACCTGTAATCCCAGCTAGTCCAGAGGCTGAGGCAGGAGGATGGAAAATTTAAAGCCAGCCTGGGCAACTTGCTGACTCTGCCTCAGAATTAAAAATGATTCTGAAGCCCTGAGTTCCCTAGTACTGAAAAAATAAATAAAAATTTAGAAAACTGAATGATAGTGCATATATGAATCCCAGTACTGAGGAAGTGGAGGCATAAAGATCTTGCCTTCAAGGCCACCCTGGCATAATGCACTACATTGTGAAACTTGGTCTCAAAAACAATTTCTTAAACTATCACTAACAAACAAGCTAAATCATTTTGGACAGTATCATTTCCTGATATTAAAGAAATGATATAACTATGTTGGATGAAACCAAATAGGCCTACATGAAGGAAAAGACACATTTATGAGAGCTTAATGATCAATCCAGTCTCAGAGGTGGCTTTTTGTGTCACTGGGTGTGCACTAGCATTGTGGATAAAGTCACTCCACTGAGTAGTTGTTAGAGTGTCCGCTTGCCTTCCTTATGGAAATCTAACAGGCTCTCACTCCTGGTTCCCAGCCAGCAGCACTGCTGCCCAACCACTACTTCCATGAGCTCTTTCTTATTAACAGTCCTCCCTGTCTTGCCTGCCTCCTTCTGCCTCTGCTGAAACATAGCATGAGGTCTTGGTGATGACAGTGCAGCAGCAGTTGAGCAAAATTACCATTAGAGGAAGAGTCCGCAGAGATTTACCCAAGGATGGGCAAGAAACAGACTCACACTGAGCTTTGGAACTCTGAAGAGACTGTTTAATGAAGGGGCTATTTACAGAAAGGTGACCAAATTCAAATAAGCCTACTACTCCTACAAGGTTCACAAGGCCTGCTGAAGCCAGAGAGCAAGGGCTGTCTTCAAAAGCATTGTCAGAGTCATGCAGAAGCAGGGAAGGAAGAGTGAAGACACACTCTACCCACTGTCTCTTCCCATTCTGCAGGACCCTATAGCTCTCTGACCATGTAACTCATTGATTTCAATGAAATTTTTCATTGTTGTAAATGGAAATATCAGGTGAGCTATCTAGATACAAAGGAGCAATCACTGGATTGTTCCATATTTCTGTTCCTTAGCGTATCACATCTGAAAATCAAGAAAGGAAAAAAAGACTGATTAAATTTTTCCTTTTTTCTTTAGACAAGGTCTCAACATGTAGTTCAGACCAGGCTGGCCTCAAACTTGGGTTGATCTTCCCGACTTCAGCCTCCTGAGCGGTGGGATTACAGGCAGGTACCTCCACACTAGCTAAATTTTACATTTTTATGAAGAAATCAAATACCTTTGTACTCCATACCCCTGTTGATCTATTAAGTTCTCCTAAGATTGTGTATATGAATTCTCTTGTCCTTATCTCCTTAGAAACTTGCAGATGCCCTAAAATGACTGCACTAGAGCAGGCAGAGGCCCAACTCTCGGAATTAGACCTGCTGGCCAGTATGTTCCCTGGTGAAAGTGAGCTCATAGTCAATGACCAGCTGGCTTTAGCAGAACTGAAAGACTGCGTTGAGAAGAAGACGACAGAAGGGCAATCTTCAAAAGTTTACTTTACTATCAGTATGAACCTGTACATATCTGAGGAAGTAATGGTAACTCAGTTTTGTCTTTGGAAGACTTAAAACATACCAAGACTTAAAAAAACAACATCTTTCTTACAACATCTTTCTTTTGTTTTCCTTTTTCTGCTGCTGCTGTTTTGTTTTGTTTTTTTGTTTGTTTGTTTGTTTTTAAATCAGGTGATGTTTTCTCTGGCCTGCATTCTTCCCTTTAAATATCCTGAAGTCCTGCCTGAAATTACTGTCAGGTATGTTACAGAACTTTTGGCCAATTCTAGAGGCCAAAACTTGTCACAGAACAAAAGCAATTCTTAAGTTTGTTTTGTCTCCCAAGAAAATGGATTTAAATTATTTTCTTGTCTCTTCATTCAGATCACCATTATTAAGTAGATCACAGCAATCTCAGCTGAACCTAGATCTGACTGCTTACTTGCAGAAGAATTGTCTTGGAGATGTCTGTATACTGAATGCCACAGAGTGGGTTCGAGAACACGCCTCTGATTATGTCAACAAAGATGCCCTCTCTTCCCCCACCACAGAAAGTACAGTCCAGCCAATTGATCTCATTCTTACAAGGCTCTGGATCTATAGCCATCACATCTATAATAAATGGAAGAGAAAGAATATCCTAGAGTGGACAAAAGAGCTTTCCCTGTCCGGGTTCAGTATGCCTGGGAAACCTGGTGTTGTTTGTGTGGAAGGCCCACAAAGAGCCTGTGAAGAATTCTGGTCAAGGTTTGCTTTCACATATTTTGTATATCATGTCAATAACCATAATACAAAAGCAGGCACTATAGCTGTGGAAATATATATGTCTGACAGGGTATATCTCCGTGGGAATTCAGTCTCCAGTCAATGGGTAAGGCAGAAATCACATATAGTCAGCATTACCCACCTCACCTGACACGGTACTTATAGGAGACATTCTCCGAATTTTTGTTGAAGTCATCCCGCCTGTGCCCAGGATAATAAGATCCCATCCATTTCCACGGATCTGATTCTGCCCTCATTTTACTGATGTTGTAAACTTATAACCTGTGAAGTTTGAACTTTCTAGAAGCATTAGAATTGCCACTAGTCTTCTCATTTCTCTTCTGAGAGCTTAAACTTTTTTCTGGGAGTTTCCTTGAGTAGTTTCCCACATTTCCAGAATACTGATAGGCAACTGTAATAATTGCAGTAATTGAGTATGGGCGTGGGGTCATGACCAGGCTCATTCTTGATTAAAATAAACCCTTCTGAGGTAAAAGTTGATTTCTTTACTTACAGAAAAAGGCACTGATAACTGCTATTTTCAGTGCTTCAGAATACAAAACCCATTTTGAAATTTATGCTTTAAAAATTTCTTTCAGACTCCGAAAACTAAACTGGAAGAGAATTCTAATTCGTCATCGAGAAGATATTCCTTTTGATGGTACGGGTGATGAAATGGAAAGACAAAGGAAATTTTCCACTTTTGAGGAAAAAGTATTCGGTGTTAATGGAGCCAGAGGAAATCACATGGATTTTGGTCAGCTGTATCAGTTCTTAAATGCCAAAGGATGTGGGGATGTTTTCCAGATGTTCTTTGGTGTGGAGGGACAGTAACTAAAGAAGAGTGGCTGAAACTATTTCATCACTGTTGGCCTTTGGATTTTTTTTCCCCCTACTCTCTTAAAATTTAGTCTTAATTCTATCCTAGAATGGTAGGAGGAAAAATTAAAATGTGAAAGGATAGTTTCAATGAAACTGTAAAAAATAAGTCATGATTGAAAGCAGAACTGAGTTTCAAATTATAGTCTTTAATTTATCAATAGAAACTTCTTGACATATAAGCTACCCATTTTGAAAAACTATGTATAAGTCAGTGTTGGGCTGGGGATGTCGCTAAGTGGCACCGCTCCTGTCTGGCAAGTGCAAGGTCTGGAGTTCGATCCCCATTACCCCCCCAAAAAAGAAGAAAAAGACTGAAGTCAATGTTGGTGGTCCACCTTGCTAGCTGCTCTCAATACTCTTCACCTTTATCTGCCTTCACTACAGAACCCTGAAGGCCATGTGCTCACCCTTCCAGCCTCTGTGGTGGCCACTGGCGGCCTGAAGACACAATGGACGGATTTCTGGGAAAACACTTTTTCCCAGATGAAAATGATACATGCACTTAAGCCATCTTTCCGCCTCTTCCTGCCGCAAAAGCTAAAGTGAAGGTTGGAGCTGGATCACTCCTTTCAGCCAGGATGGGAGGATGGACCCAGAGCATCATAGAGATGTCAGGCTTCATGTTCCTGCGTTCCTAACACAACATCAGCCCTTGGCAATTTCTAGACATTGGACTATAAAATAAAACCAGCTTTGTTTAAATTTGCTTGTCACTAGCAGTTGAAAGCTAGTTTGTATAACAGGTTTTTTCAAAGGTTTAGTTTTGTATCTACCCTAGCCATTTGATATACAAATTGTGAAATTTTTCTTAAATGGATTTGCAGCTCACTTCTGGTTTTGTATTGTTAGGCTTTATCCCTTTGCTCCTGTGTTTGCCTCACAGAAAGCGGAGATATGAGTTGAGCAGAACTTTTTTGTTTGTTTTTGAAACAGGGCTCACCCATTCATCAAATTGGTAATTTAGAGAATCTGGTTTTGGCAAATTGGATTTTGATATACTTTTCACTCTGGAAATAGCCTTTGTGAATTTATATTTGGTAAATTGACCTACAGTCCAATCACACTGCCTGATTTTCTATTAATCAATTCCAAAACATTAAATATGCCAGAGATTTAGCTTAGCAGTACCACTGCGTGCCTCAAAAGCGCAAGGGCCAGAGTTCGAACTCTGGTAAAAAAAAAAAAAAAAAAAAAAGACCCAAAAACATTAAATATTAATTTCTAGTACTCAGATTGCTATCATGTGCTGGCTATTCTTTGAAGAGTCAGACTTGAGTGGAGTTAAAGTGAGATACAATACATTGTACAAGCTAGTTGGAAACATATATGCCCATCTCTGAGGGAATCTCTTAAGTAAAATACAGCACATAATATAATACTATGTAGAAATCGGAAGGAATGAAATAGGACAAGGTAAAGTAGGTAGAAATTTTTGGGGGGCAGGGTGTTGAGGCAGGGCCAGGAGAGGGAAGATGTCAGCCCAGCCTAGAAGGTGGGCAACCGCTGGTGCAGCAGGCTCCCGGAGCTACAGACCCTGACTGACAGCAGCCAGCTCCAGCCTGGGCCCCGCGCTCTGCCACCGGATGTCGGCGGGGGGTGCGCGTGAGCCTGCGCCTGTGAGTATTTTTTTGGCCAAGATGGGATTTTTTTGATAATTTAATTCAGTTCAGCAATTCACTGTTTTGATCACGAGGTCAAATTGTTTTCAGGGTTTGGTTTTTTTGTCGTTTTTTGTTTTTCCTACCAGCAAATCCACCATGAATATTCATTATTATCTCAATTTATTATATGTATAGAAGTGAAATTCAAATTGAGTATGTATTTGTCTGGGCAAACATACTTCTGAAAGGTTGAGAAATTAGAATTGAATTGCTTCTGAGATTTTCTTCGCTGTAGATAATTATTACCATTGATTATTGTTTTACCAATGTAATAGATGAAGACATCTAATATTGCTGAAGGTTATCTTCATTGACTTAGTGTAGGTTAATAATTTTAGGCAGATACATTTGACATTTTAGTCAGTTATAATTTGGTCAGTTACATTTCTTTTGTCAATTGTCACTTTATCCTGTATTTTAATTATATAGACACCTTAAAAAATTTATAGATAGCATATAAACTGTTAGTAAATGTTGCAAATATTTTCCAAGTTTGTCTACTTGTTTTTTTATAGAAAAAAAGCACTTTTAATTTAGTGTATTTAAATCAATCATTCCTTTTTTTTTTTTTAAACTGGGGATCAATATCAGGACCTTGCAGGCAGCAGCATAATCAAGCATTTCTTTATAGTTTTCTGTCTTTGGAGCATTGATTGAGAAACCTTTCTCTATTCCAGTGTAATTTAAACACATACATAAATAATTTTACAATATTTTGTTTTTGTTTTACAAAGAATCTTATTGTAAAATAGCATTTATCCTGTTCTTTTGTTTTACCAGGGATTGAACTCAGAACCTTGCACTTGTGAGGCAGGTGGTGGCACTGCTGAGCTAAATCCTCAGCTTCAGCCCCTTTTTTTAATTAAAAATTTAAAAAAATTTTTAATTTTATTGGTACAGTTGAGATATACATAATGGTCACATTTCATTCATCAGAGGGAATTTGTACCTGTACATGATGTATCTTGATTTCTCTTTTTTTCTATTCACCTCCCCTCTCTTCAATATGCTGAGACAGGATGTTGCTATGTTGTCCAAGCTAGCCTTAAACATGTGATCCTCCTGCCTCAGCCTCCATACTGGCTGGGTTTACAGTCATGTACCATCATGCCCAGAGGAAAACTATTTTATGTGGATGGATTCAGAGAATGTCACATGAATTTCAAACAAGTGAATTATTTTTGAATGCCATAGGATGTCATGATTTTCAAATGTCCTCTGGTATAGAGGTTTAATAACCAAAGAAAAGTAGAATGCAGAATATATTTGAATATTTTCCTTCTCTCTCTCTCTCTCTCTCTCTCTCTCTCTCTCTCTCTCTCTCATTTTGCTACATGTTTGATTTCTACTCTCAGAAACTTACCTGGATGGGTAAGATTATTTTAATATCAGACTTTTTTTGTAAGACATTCACAATGTTTTCTTAGAGGCTATAATTCTGTTGCAAAACTTGATCTATAAAATTGAGATTATAGCAATCACGAATGATGAAGACAGAGTCTCACTGTGTAGTTGAGACTGACCTGGAACTCACTATGTAGCTCAGGCTGGTCTCAGACTCATGGTGATCCTCCTGCCTCAGTTTCCCCAGTGCTGGGGAAGCCACCATGCCCAGTGAGTTTCAAATCTTAACCTTTAAAGTACTGAAATTTCTTTTCATAAAAAATTTGCATTTTGACAAAAACTAAACATTTTTTATGTTCTTCTGTCCAGAAACATTTCCTTATTATCACCTAATGTATTGATATGAACAATTCTGATTTCTGAAACCTTGTACAAATCAAAACAAATTTGTGAGCATTCACTTAGGCATTGGGTTTATTTAGACTGCAGAGGTTTAAAATGGCTTCTCCTTTAAAGGGTAGTCTTGCTAAAAAATACAAGCATGAGGAATTGTTAAATTACCAACACTGTTTCCAGTGCTCAAACCAGTTATAGAATGGTTCCCTAGGAAGACTGAAGAGAGATTTGTGTGGCCCAAAGTAACTGAGGGAATGAATCGAGAGAGATGTGTCAAATGTTAGGGAAGATAGGAAGTGTCCCTGCAATAGAAGAAAATGAAATTATGTGATATTTTTAAGCAAAAACAGGCAGACTTTAGGAACTAATAATAAAAAAGGATGGAGCATCACCCTGATCTTTCCTTCAAGTTATTTTTCCTGACAGCTCTATAATGAAGTCAGTTTCTTGTCTGCTCTTTCCAAAGTCCATACTAATTCTTGATTCACTGCTTCTATTCCATTTTAGTTCTAGTTTTGAATATTTTTTCCTTTCATTTTTTTTTCTAGTTTGTCCAAGCTTTGGGCTCAAGTTGTCATACAGGAAGTCTTTCTGATTACTGAAATACATGATAATCTCTTGTTTGCATAGCATTTTTAATATGTGACACTCACATTATCAGTGATACTGTTAAATTCCACTTAAGTGGCCATGATAGAATTATTTAAAACATTTGAGTTTAATCACACATTTAATATGTGAATGTATTCTCCTTGAATAAAATAAAACCTTACAAACGACTTAATTTCCTTTGATTATAACTCCTAACCCCAGCCTCTTTCCTTGCACCCCTTTTGATAAGGAGTAAGTACAATTATCAGATTGGTATGATAGCAGATTTTTTCAATGTGTTTACATAATATGCATGGGTCCATACAAGACACATATAATACTGTTTTGTGGAGATCGAAGATACAAAAGGCTTCCTACTGTACATATAATTAGTTTCTTTTTAAGAATATGTCTTAGAATTATTCCTAGGTATGTAGAGATGAACTTCAGTCATACTTCTGTTTAAAATCCTAAAGAGGGGCCAGGGATTTAGCTCAATGGTGCCGCTGCCTGCCTCGCAAGCTCAAGGTCCTGAGTTCAATCTCTGGTACCAAAACAAAACCAAAAAAACCCCTAAAGAATACTACATTAATCAGCTTTCCATTTCCAGGGGAAAATGCATATCTAACTTGAAGAAAAGTTCATTTTGGTTCATGTTTTCAGATGTTTCAGTCCATGGCCAGCTGGCTCCATTTCTGTGGGCTTGTTGCAGGGCAGAACATCACGAGAGAGGCATGGAGGCTGAAAGCTTCTCACCTCATGACAGGAAGCAGAGAAAGGCATGACTGTGAACTGCTTTCTCCATTAAACCCTACCTCTTGGTAACCTCATTGATGAGCCATGAATTGTCACTGGATGACCAATTCAGTTCCTTTAAATTCCAATGAATGGAAACCAAACCTTCAACACAGTAAGACTTTTGGAAAATAATTTGGACCCAAACCATTTATTTATTTACTCTCCAATTAAGTTTACAATTTCTTCCTATTAAAAATTCGTGAGAATTCTGCAATGTGTCTCTTTGTGTGCATTTTTCAGACAAGGTCAAAGGAAAATAAAAATCATTTTATTTATTCTTGTACTTAGAATGGGAATTTTGAACCTAAGTCTTTGAGCGTGTGCTTTAGTGATTTAAAGAGAAATCATTTAATAATAAGAGTTGATTAGAAGCTGAAAGAGAATACTGAGATAACGAAAAGGTCATCACTACAGGCAGCAGCTGCTGAAAAGAATAGGTTGGGATAATCAGAACTAAGAAACCTGGAGAACGTCTTTGAAAATTTCATTTCATTGATGCTTAGGTCTTGCTGGTCCTCTGAATCTCAAAGAAGGAATCTCATGATACCGGGTCCCAAGCTTCTGAGGAAGGGCACTAAGAGGAGGGGCCTGATGGAGCTGGCCCTAAGCACTCTCAGAGCACTTCCTGGTTGATACTTTGAGGTGTGCAGTAAGGTCAATTTCGTGATTGTTGGACAAAAGATGGAGACGAGAGAAAGTGTTGCTGCCACGGTGAGGGGCTGCTACCGGGCTGATGCCAGTAGAGCTGAGCCCTTCTCCCTCCTCTTGTTTTTCAATCTTTCTCTAGTTTCCCTGTTGATGAAGTTTAAAAGGAAGCTACCGGGATAAAGGAGAAGTAGCTCACAGAATTCCATCATTATGGAGTTATGACAGTCTTGAGAAATGGCCAGCTACAAACGTGTTTATGATTTTCTAGAGTGATTCTGAGGCGGAGCCACTAAGCTACAACAGGATATGCACATTTTAAATTTTCATGGAACTAGCCATATTATCTTTTAAAAAAAACACGTAATTTTGATATAGAATAAATGGGGAGAAGTTTAGAGAGAATAACTGGTAGCAAAAAAAAAAAATTTTTTAAAACGGTCTCACTATGTAATTCAGGCTGGCCTAGAACTCGTGATTCTTGCGCCTCATCCTCCCGAATGCAGTGTCTGCCAGCGTGCACCACCGTGCCCGGTTTAGTATCAAATTTGAACAAGAATAGGAATCTTGTTAAAATGCAGACTCTGACCTAGTAGTTCTCGGATGGACCAGAGAGCCTTTCTTTTTCTCCCCCCGGGTTCTGGGAATTAAACCCAGGACCTCGCGCATGCTAAGCAAGCGCTCTATCACCGAACATATCCCCAACGAGGGTCTATCTATTAAACAAACGCGTAGAGGATGCTTAATGATTTCATTTCTTTAAAACTTCAACCCCCCCCATTCAACACTTCTACATTCGTGGTCACAAAGACTGTATCACTACCTTTGTTAGAAAATAAACGTAGAGCTCAAGCCTAGGCCCAATCCTCTTGGCAAAGAACCGCAGTTTCTGAAAGAGCAGTAAAGGATTTGGCACGTTAGGGCCCGTGCTTGGCTTCCTATTGGCCAGAAATGACGACACTGTGGTAGGCGTGCCTTTAATTGTGACGCCTTATGCGATGGATGGTCAAGGCTGCATCCGGAAGCGGGAAGGGAAGTGTGGGGCAGGAGGGAGGGCGGGCGCGCGACGGAAGGGGCGGGCCACGGAAGGGGCGGGCCGGAGGAAGTTATAGTGAGCTCCCTTCCGGCGCTGGGGGCCGGAACGTGTGGCCCGGCGGCTGTCAACCTGGTTCCTGCGAACTGAGTTCGCTGCGGAGACCATGGGCGGGAAGAACAAGCAACGGACCAAGGGAAATCTGAGGGTGAGAGCGGGATGGCGTGGCCACCTGGGTTGTCTTCTCGCATCTCTGGTCTTCGCCGGCGCTCAGCAGAGTGTGTCCGGAGCACGGCGGGGAGAGGCGTGTGTTTCCGTGTTGAGTGTGACCTCTTTGTTGTGTGTGCATCCCCGAGGGCAGGATGGGTTCTTTGAGCACAATGAGAGAGAAAAGATGTTTCGTGCCAGAGCTGTGCCCACCGAGGCACATACCCACGCTTTTCATTAACAGATGGTTCAGTGTCAGCTTCTCCTGGAAGGTTACCAGGGTGAGGGAGAGGGCGGTGGGGGGCCGGGAGGTGGAGGACTTGGATGGGAAGAAGTTGACATGAGCTTGTTAGGCAGGATAGCTCGGATCATGTCCTTCATTTTCTTCAGAAACCTGAGTGAATATCTACATTCCTCGAAATAAAGGCCAGAGCCCTAAAACGATCTTACTGTGCCTTGTCCTTGCTTGGCACGCTCCCAATGCTCTTGTTAGGTGCCTCCAAATTTCGCCTTGCACACCTCTGTGTGGTCTCCCGTGCTCGTCCCATTTCGAATTGTAGCTGTTCGCACTATTTCTTGTTCTCCATTTGTACTTTATTTTATTACACTGTGTTGATGACTTCTAACCTACTATGTAACTTACTGTGTCCGTTCACTAGGCTGTATTTGAAGGCAGGTATTTATCTGCTGCTTTTATGCTAAGGGGTGCTATAATGGTATATATGTATCTTATGTTGCTGGTTTGTTATAGCACAGTGTAATTTTATGGGAATGTTTTTTCCCTATTTCTGATTCAGACAATTTTAGTTATTTAAGTACCACATTTTCTTAGCTGTCAATATGCTTTAGAAGATAATATAAATACTTCTAGTAACTTACCTTAAATATTGCACTAAATATTTTACTTGCGTTCTTATTTAATACTTTGATTTGTTTTGTAAAAATCCTCAATGATCAATTAGTTAATTTATTTTGGTACTGGAGATTGACCCCATGGTAGGCAAATGCTTAAACCCTGAGCTATATATATCTCCAGGCCTCCTTTTAAAAAACTTTGAGGCAAGATCTCAATGAGTTGCCCAGGCTGGCCTTGAACTTGCAGCCTTCCTGCCTCAACCTTTGGAATAGCTGAGATCCTGTGGGCTCAGTTTGTTACTTTTGTTTTTGTTTTTGTTTGTTGGTACTGAGGATGGAACTCAGGACATTATGTTTGCAAGGCAGGCAGGCGGCCGTACCACTGAGCTAAATCTCCAGCCCGGTTTTTGAAAAATTCTTAATATGAGCTAAAGTTGCAAGAATTTTGGAATGACACACTGTATAATATTTTCCTGGATTCACCAATTGTTACTATTTGGTCACAGTTGTTTCTCTCTAAATTTATGAATTTTGCTGAAACATGTAACTGGGAGAAGTTGGGATTCAGCTATTAAGTACATCATCATGTATCTAATCTTCTAAAAACAGTATCATTCATCTACTATTCTACATAGTCACTAGTAATTAAAACATACAGAAACTAATTCAGGTGTCATACTCGAATATAATATGCAGTCTTGCAGTCACATTTCTGTACTCATTTTAGTAAATTCTGTGTGTGTGTGTGTATAATATATAGTTTGCTTGTTTTGAGTCAGGGCTCACTTTGTAGTTCAGGCTGTCCTTGAACTCAGTATGTCACCCAGGTTGGCCTTGAACTCCTGGTGATCCTCCTGGCTCAGCCTTCCAAGTGCTGGGATTATAGGCATACGCCAAAACACCCTATAATCTCCTTTTTATTCTTTAAAATATTTCATTTTAAAAGTATTTGACATCCAGTCAGGGATCACCTACACTGCTTATGCTATTTGGCTATCACCTAGGTCCTTTTGACCTGGACAGTTAACACTCCTCCACACCTTTGGGGATGTTTTTTATGATATAACTTGGGAGAATCAGGCTACTAACAAATAATATGTGGACTGATAGTCTGAGACTATACTATTCTCCCACAAACTTTCAGCTAATGGTTTTAGCACGCTGTGATGATTCTTGCTTTAGTTAATTATTATGGTGGCTTAAAAACTCATGTTTAATATTGACAATAGTCCAAGTAATGAGTTACTCCAACCTCATTTTAAAGATATGGAGGCTGAGGCAGGAGGATCACTAAGTCCCAAGCCAACCTGGACTACATAGTGAGACACTGTCTCAAAAAAACCAGAAACCAAACCAAAACAAAAAAGATGCTGGAAATGATATTTAGAGAAGTTTACTCTCCTAAGCGAGGAGGTTGCAGAGCTGGGGTTTGAACTTCAGAGAGTGGCATTTATTGAGCAGAAAACTTGAGTCCTGCTTGGGATGATACACAGATATCTGCTCTGTTGAATGATTCTGATTCAAGTATGAGCAGAGAGAATGAGAGAACAGAAAAGAACAGTGATCTCAGGGAGACAAGTGTTGCAGACATGAGTGCTTAGAAGGACGAGTAGAAGTCTGTCAGATACTGAAGAGGAAAGAAGTTTTCAGATGGAGAGAAAAAGATACATATAGCATTCAGAGATCCGTGGATTCACTTTGGGACCGGACCATGCGTGATGGTAGCAAAATTGAGAGAAGAGAGGTGGGAGGAAAGGTAAGAGTGGCAGTAGATCAGATTAGGAAAAAATGAGGATAGGTGGTGAGAGATCTTTTTAATTCTCCAGTTTGGTCTTTCATCTGTAGACTCAGGCTTGCTACCTCAAATACCCATAGAAGCCAGGCATAAAGAGCAAAGAAGTAGGTATAATATATGAAGAATTAACTGCCAAAAATAGAATCAGGGTTTTTAATTTTTATTGAACTGTGGATATAAGTCACCAACAAATAAAACATAATTGTAACTGTATTTTGAACTCAAAGTAGATTTTGAAAAAAAAGATACAATTAGTGTATTTAAAAATACTTCATTATTTTTAATTTGGAAACAGGAAACATGTTACCTTCTGCCTAGAGTTACTATTGTCAGCTTGGGGATTTTGAAATCAGAATGCAGCCTTAATTTCTTTAGTAGTAATTAGTTTTTTACTATTTCATAAAACTTTACAAATCAGATTATAGATAAAATTCTTGCATCCTACTATCGCTGTATTTAGGTTTCAGAATTGTATTATAATTCACCGACTTCCTTTGGAGCTCTTTTATTTATGTACCAGGACTGAGAAAGGTAAACTGAATAATGTTAGTTCATTTTTTGTGTGTGTTACTTCATTTTAATGAAGTTTTAAAATGGAGATCTTTTTTTAGAATTACTCTTAACTAGCACATTTTGAAAGAAAAATGTAATTCTGGCCATCTTTTTATTACTAGTCACTTGTTCAGTTTATATAGCAGGCCTTGTTATTCCTTGTTGAATGAGTTTCCAAAAACAGTTTCTGTGCCTGAGCAATTGCATGACATATTTGCAAAACTTTTTGCAGGTATCCTTGGAAATAACAGATGTGTGTGGATGAGTTGTAATGTCATTTTGGCGGTTGAACTAAGGGACTAATAGCAAACCCTTTAGAAACCAAGTGCCAAGGGTACCAACACTGCAATTAAATCTGAATACTGAGGCTTTAGTTTAGAAAAAAACAAAACCAAAAACAACTCTACATTCATATCTTTTGTCTTAAAAATACAATAACACCTGTGCCTTAGGTTTGCCACTATTGAGCTAAGGTATTTCCTCCTTAGATGACAAAGAGTAAGTTAATTTCTTTCAATAATTCTAATATTTTCTTTATGTGTAACAACTAGCTCTCTTTTACAACCAGGAGACAACTGTGTAGTGTATTGTTAAACCTCTGACTATGGTTCAAAACAAAAGAGTAGTCTAGCTTATATCTTGACCACTGTGTTGATTGTTGTGTCCATAATGATGTAATTTTAGCTCAAAGAGGTTAGGTGGTGCCCCTGCCACTGGAGAACAAACCTCAGAACCTTAGGACCTTGCCCTGGCTGAGCTAAATCCCCGGCCCTAGGCTAGGTTTTGAGTATGTTGAAATGAAAGCATCTGCTCTTGAGGAACTCAGAGTCTGGAAATAGCAGTCATTAGCTCTGTCACATGGTGATTTCTTAATAAGTATTGAATGAGTGAAAAGGTCAGCCTCATTAATTTTGCATGATCACGCAGTACACATACAATACACATATGTATATATAAATACTATTTACAGGAAAGTCAGAAATAAAATTTTTTTACTAGTGGTATTTATGAAAATCTTATCATATGTGACACATTCTGTTTTTTACATCTTTATTCTATTTCTTCTCGACTGCCTATTATATTGGTATCATGAGACACAAAGGGGTTGTATCCACAGTTTTAAAAAACATTATTCTAATGTATTGGAAACCTGAAAAAATATCCTAGGAACATTATTATTATTATTTTGGTACGGGAAAATGATCTCGGGACCTTGTGCTTGAGAGGCAGGCAGGGGCACCACTGAGCTAAATCCCTGGCCCTATCTTAGGAGCATTATTGATAGGCTATTGATGACAGGAATGTTCTCCTTTGGGGAATATTGCAATAGATGAAGTTTTAGCCTAGGAAAAATCTTAAAGTTTGTTATGATCATAAGAATTGACAAGGAATTGCAAAATTAAATTGTGGACTTTTTTGGACTCTGACTTCTTTTTTTTCTATTTTCTTAGCCTTCAAATAGTGGTCGAGCTGCAGAACTACTTGCCAAAGAAAAAGGAACAGTACCTGGATTTATTGGCTTTGGAACAACTCAAAGTGACCTAGGCTATGTTCCTGCTATTCAAGGAGCTGAAGAAATTGACAGTCTTGTAGATTCTGATTTCCGAATGGTGCTGCGGAAACTGTCTAAGAAAGATGTCACCACGAAATTAAAAGTAAGTTTCCATATTTTCATAAAAATGATCTAGAATACTTTTCTGGGGCCAGGGATTTAGCTTTGTGGTGTCATGCTTTCCTTGCAAGTGCAAGGTCCTGAGTTTGATCCTCAGTACTGGGGGAAAAAAAAGAATACCTTTCTGTTAAAAGTGACATTAGCATATGTAATATAAAGAAAAATGGCCAATGGCTTATTGTTAATTCTTTTGCAGTTGCACTGTTTCTGTGACATAGACTTAAGCTTTGCCTGAGACTTTTTGAACCACTTTGGAAGTTTGTACAGTTTTTCTCATTAGGGAATGTAATTTTTGATCTGGGGCCATGTTGTATTGCCTGGTTCAAGGGCCAGAGATTTATTTAGCTCAGTGGTTCTGCCGCCTTCCTTGCAAGTGCAAAGACCCGAGTTTGATCCCCGGTACCAAAAAAAAAAAAAGAAATTGCCACCTGTATTGCCTGGTTCGGTGTGGAACTTCTGAGCTCTGGTGATACTCTTACATCAGCCTCCCAAGAAGCTGGGACTAGAGATGAGTGCCATCATGCTCACCTTGATCCTGTAATTTAATTATTAATTATTCATTTGTGGATTTTGGAGACACAGTCTCACTATATTTCAGGCTAGTCTTGAACTCACTACCGTATGTAATTCAGCCTAGCTTTTTACTCACAGCGGTTCTGCCTCAGCCTCCTTAGTGCTGGGATTACAGGCATGCACCACTACACCTAGCAATCCTGTAATTTTGGATGTTTTCTTTTCTTTGTATACATATAGTTTTTTAAAAAACTTTAGAAGGAGTACATGTTAATCCTGTATGGCACAAAACATAAATAATGTATTCTCTCATTAAATAAAATAGAGTAAGCTTCTCAAATACAATAAATACAGCTCATAACCAAAATTATAGCTAGCCTTAATGATATTAATAATTTACTTTTAGGCTATGCAGGAATTTGGAACCATGTGTACAGAGAGAGAAACAGAAATTGTAAAAGGAGTTCTTCCATATTGGCCAAGAATTTTCTGCAAAATTTCACTTGTAAGTATAAGACTTTACTAGTTTATTACAATTGCATATTTTTTGTTGAAATCATGGGGACTATCAAGTTTAAGTGATTGATTTTAGTTGAGGGTTATAAAATGTTATTTCAACATTCTTATGCAGTTTGGTTTGTGTTGGATTGTAAAGAATATATGCAGAATATGTATTTTTTCACTTTATAAAGTTCATGGTGGCTACGTTCATCCTGGGGAGTTGGTACATGTACATAATACATCCAGTTCTTTTTTATTTCCCCTTTCCCTCCCCTTCTTCCTTGTCCTCTCCAACTCAAAAACTTATCCTCACTTCCTGTATTGCATGTAAACATTAACATACCATTCAACTATAAAGTTAACTCAAAAACCCTCATTCCATTTTATTTATTTTTTTCATTATTTTTATTGGTATGGTTTAGATATACAGTACTCTGACATTCATTAATGGGAATTTGTACCTTTCATAATATATCTTGGTTCTTCCCCATTCCCATGCCCTCCCTTCAAACCTTCACCCCTCCTGATTTACAAAGACTTTGTTTCCATTTTTTCCTTTTCTCATATTTATTCAAATCTTTCCTTTCCCCTACTCTCACACTTCCCCTCCCCCTTCCCCATTGGACCTTTTCTTCCTATTTCACATTATCTAGTATACATTTTGATCCTTATTTACACTTTCAGTTTCTCACACCAGAGAAACGCTATGGTATTTACACATGTGTGTCCTATTTCACTTGAGTATAGCCTCAAAGTACATCAATTTAGCTACGTCTCTAGTTTCTCTTTATGGCTGAGTTGTATTCCATTTTATAAAAAAAAGCAAAACAAAAAACACATTTTCTTTATCCAGTCCAGTTGACAGGCAATTGGGATGCTTCCAAATTTTAGCTATTAAAAACTGCTGCTATGAACATGAGTGTACATAAATGATATAGAGGGAATAGAAGTAACTCTCAAACCTATTAGATACCTGAAACATGAGTTTGTTTTTTTTTTTAAATCAAAGTATGAATTTTAGGAAAAACAGAGGTTAAGAGTTGGAAAATTTATTGAGAAAAAGATAGCTTTTGTTTAAGACAGACAGAAGGGGGACTGGAAAGTGGGTTGCCCACCCACCCCGTGTTTTAAAGATGTTTTGTACAGCAAAGCCTTGTGGTGAGGCTGGTACAAAGAGGGACAAAACTAGGAGACCCAATGGAAAATTACAAGGTGGGCATGAGATGGGGCAAAACCACAACCAACCAATAAGATTATGATAAGAATAGTCACCCATGTAATAATATTGATTAAATGGCGATCAAATGGGAAAACAAGTTATATATAAGTAATTTTTTATTTAGAATGTCAATCACTGCTATCTATCTGTAGGGGAAGTAGTGTTTCTTTTTTTTTTATAATGTTAACCAGTGAATGAGTGTCAGTTGTTTTGTTGGTGGGAGTGTAGACTGGTACAACCACTGTAGAAATCAGTATGAAGATACCTCAGAAAACTATGATTAGAGGTCCCGTTTGATTTAGCCATCCCTTTGCAGGGTATCTTTCCAAAAGAATTAAAAGAATCATACCACAGTGATATATGCTCACCCATGTTCATATAGAATATGTATTTTAAGAAATTAGACTACTAGAATTTGTTGCAGAAAATGAGAATGAATTGCTTAATTACTTAAAATCCAGGCTTGACCTTGTCTTTTTATTTTGTCCCTGCCTCCACCCAGCTGAACATATATTGAATATAGTCATAATAGCATTGGGAAAGGGGCAAAAGGAAGAATTGATTTCTGATTTTAACCCCCCCCCAAAAAAAAACCCCAAATTCTCAGTATTTCAAAACTTTATTTATTTATTTTTTTTGTACTGAGGTTGAATCCAGAGTCTTTTTTTTGCGGGGGGGTACCAGGGATCGAACTCGGGCCCTTGCTCTTGCGAGGCAGACCACTGAACTGCTTAGCTAAATCCCCAGCCCTGAATCCAGAGTCTTGCATGTGCAAAAGCATGTACTCTATCCCTGAACTATGCCCCAGACTTTTAAAAATTGATTTTAGGGTAGTGCAGTAATTTTTTTTTTTTTTTTTTTTTGGTGCTGTGGATTGAATTTAGGACCTTGTGTTTGAGAGGCAGGCATAGTGCCACTGAGCTAAATCCCCAGGCCTATAGGTTAATTTTTTTGTTGTTGTTTTTTTTGGGTTTTTTGAGACACGGTCTCACTGTGTAGTTGAGAATGACCTGGAACTCACTATGTAGCCCAGGCTGGTCTTGAACTCACAGTGATCCTCCTGCCTCAGCCTCCCGAGTGTCGGGATTACAGGCGTGTGCCACCACACATGGTTTATAGGTTAATTCTTAAGAATGGGTCTTTGTAGCACATCTAAAAACTTCTGTGTTTGTAAATCATATTTATATTCAAACAGGATCACGATCGCCGGGTTCGAGAAGCCACTCAGCAAGCTTTTGAAAAACTTATCCTTAAAGTAAAGAAACACTTGGCTCCGTATTTAAGAAGTTTAATGGGTTATTGGCTCATGGCTCAGTGTGATACGTACACACCAGCTGCGTGTGCTGCGAAAGATGCATTTGAAGCAGCCTTCCCTCCAAGCAAGCAGCCTGAAGCTATAGCGTTTTGTAAGGATGAAATTACCAGTGTAAGTTTTTGGATCCATTTTTAAATTTTTTTTCCTTACCATGTTATAATAGTAGTTCTTTTACCTGTCCCTGTAGATGTATTAGGGGGAAAACTGTTTTGTTCTGTCAACACAGATTTCTGTAATCTCAGCGTGTAGAGGTTTCTCCTCCATAGCTGAGTGCTCTCTAATTTAATTCAACTTTAATGTTCTCTACTTGGAGATCGTGTCAGATTCCATAGGTTGAGGGTTCAATCCCTGAGGCTGCCCTATCTTCAGACCCAGTCTCAAGTCTGAGCCTCGGAAACTTCTAATTGATTGGGTACAAATTGGAGTTCCTGCAACTCCCTCCTCAGGTTTGATTATTTAACGTGTTTGGCTTACAGAACTCAGGAAAATGCTCCTATATTTACCAGTTTATTACAGAGGCTATTTAAAGCGATACGGATAATCATCCTGATAAAGATAATTCCATAGGGCAAAGTCTGAAGGGTCCTGAGTTTGTCACTGTACCACCCTCCTGGCGTGTGGATGGTTTCTTTGCCTCCCTACACACCTCCATGCGTTCATCTGTCCAGAAGTGCTCTGAACCCTGGCCGTTTTGATTTTCGTGGGGGCCTTCATTGAATAGGTGTGATTGAAGCATGCACAACCATGTTGAAGTGTGATTGGACAGAGTATGATCCGATGCTAATTCGTCTGCTCATGTTCCTGTTAAAATTCTTACGCATGGATGACTTGATCACTGAACATGAAGATTATTTTCACTTTAGTTTTTTTGTGGCACGGTTCTTATAGATGATCGAGTTTGACCATTCTCAAGTTCAAAACCAATTTATTATAGAGGCATTAGAAAAGGCAAGATAAAAATGTCATACCATGTGTTGTCAGTGGGCGGGGAGGCTCTCAGAGAAGGAGAGGAAAGCAGATATGATTTCTTTGTCAGATTTAAAAGTCACAGTATTTCACTGCGCCACTGGGTGCATTTAAATAAAGAAACTCATAGCACCAGCCGGGGCTACATAGTGAGTTCAAGGCCAGCCTGAACTATGCTGTGAGACTTTGTCTCAGAGAAAGAAAGGAAAGAAAAAAAGAAAGGAAGAGCTGGGTATGTTGGGCGTGGTGGTGCATGCCTGTAGTCCCAACACTTGGGAGGCTGAGGCAGGAGGATCTCTGTGAGTGCAAGACCAACCTGGGCTACATAGTGAGTTCCAGGTCAGTCTCAACTACATAGACCGTCTCAAAAAAGAAACAACAACAAACAAAACAAAACAAAACAAAACAAAAGGAAGAACAACAGACATCAGTGGCCAAATGTATTTAGTGGAAATTTTCTCTTAATGGGAACTGGACATGTCGGGGAAGAAAAGCCTTGTCCATCTTATCCTAACAATAGCCCAATAACTTGGAGACTGACAAGAGAAGAAAAATGGGTAAAATTTACACCTTTCAGTTTGGCTACTTGAATTTGCTGTGAGGTAATATTTAGTTTAAGGGGATTCTTAAAAATGAATTGTACTTAACTGTGCTTGGCTCACTATTCAGTAAAAATTCAATAAAATCTGAAGAATTCAGTATTTGTTTTCTTATCTAGGTGCTTCAGGATCATCTTCTAAAAGAAACACCCAACACACTTAGTGACCCACAGTAAGTTACGTTGTTTCTGTGTAACTGAAGTTAAGGATTTTTGTTTCACCATAGGTACCCAGATATTATTTCCGTGTGACATTCTCTATGAAGAACAAATTTGAAATAGCGTTGAGGCCCAGGGATTTAGCTCAGTGATTCCATGGCCTGCCTCCCAAGCATAAGTTCCCCTGTTTGATCCTTGCTACCAAAAATACATACATACATACGTACATACATACATACATACATACATACATAAATAGAGTTGAAAATAACAATATAATACCACAATATGCGCTACGTGCTTCTTTAGTGCTTTTACTTGCAAGTTATCTTGTTATTTGTGTAGAATTTTTTGGAAGCTGCTCATTGGTTCTGTTTGAGAGGGTTTTAAATTTTTTTCCCCACAGTTATCTTTTAGCAGCAGTAGTAGGGACTGTGTGAAGGTATGGTGCAAAATGGCTGAGAAAAAGTGTAAATAGTTCTGTTTTTTGTTTTTGTTTTTGTTTTTGTTTTTTTTGAGTCAGGGTCTCCTTATGTAATTCAAGCTGGCTCTGAACGCATTGTTTTGCCCAAGCTGGCCTCAAGCTCATGGTAATCTTCCTGCCTTATTCTTCTGAGTTCTGAGATTATAGGCATGCCCTGCTAAAGTATTTTGTTTACTATTATCTTCTAATTAAACTTTTAGGGATCCATAAGGGAAAGTAGTCAGAGATGTCTAGATATACTTCTGAGAATATGCACTTGGTCACTTATTTCAAGCCATGGTTTTTCTCTAATTACATGTCATATTAGCAGCAAAATATGTTGTTAAAATTCTGTGTGTATTTGTATTTTGAGGGGGTTTGACATGGGGGAGTAGAAGATGAAAATAAAGCAAGTGGTAGACGTTTCGTTAGAACATTTAAAGTATGATATGTGATTGAAAAATATGATGCTTAAAAATTTTATTCCAGTAAAAAATATTTCCCTTGACCCTTTCAAAATATTCTTCCTCACTTCAAATACGTTATCATTCTTGCCACTTTCTGAAGTAGTTCAGAAGTCCTCCTTCAGGATTGTTTGTAGTTGTGCTGTTTTGGTTGCCGTGATGTCCTGAATCCATTCAAAATGTTTACCTTCCATGGTCATTTGACTTTGGGGAGGAGCCAGAAGTTGCGTGGTGCCAGATCCAGTGAGTAGTGTGGTTGAGGACACAAGCTAATATTTTGTGAGCCTGCTTTTTTGTTGAGTGGCTTGCTAGCAGCATTCACTGTATTTCTGATCATACCTCATAAAGACACTCAATGAAGGAAAAAAAAATGGCACTCATGGAAGAAGACTTCCAGAACGGCTTCAGAAAGTGCAAGAATGATGTAGTGTGTTCTAAATGAGTGGGAGTGTTTGGAGGGGATTAAGGGCACTGTGGCTTTTACTGCAATTTTTAAAAAATTGAAGCATTCTCCATAGTTTTCTTTATTCTCAGTACTTTTATTTTCTTTACAAATCAAGAACTGTTCCAGAGGAAGAAAGAGAAGCTAAATTCTATCGAGTTGTAACTTGTTCCTTATTGGCATTAAAGAAATTGCTTTGCCTTTTACCTGATAATGAGCTTGATTCTCTGGAGGAGAAATTTAAATCTCTGTTATCACAGAATAAATTTTGGAAGTATGGAAAACACAGTGTACCTCAGGTAATCTATGTTTATGCTTAAAATACCTTAAAGCATTTTTCAAATTTGTCCCACTGATCTTATTAGATTGTGTTTATTGTTCATATTTACAAATTTGTAAGCACATTGTTGAAGTAGGTCATTGGGAACCGAATCGTCTCTTGCTAGAGTCATTCTGTTTCTTTTCCTTATCCTCCCCCTCGTCCTCCTTCAGCTTCCTCTTTATCTTCATCATGACGCTCATCTTCGCGTATGCTAAGTATGCGCTCACTCTGCCCCTGAGCCACCCTCTGAACTCTCAATTTTCACTCTTGTGTTTAGTTTCGGTATCAGGTTCAGAGTTAAAGTGTCATATTCTTTTGTTCATGGCACTGAAAATTGTTGATGTTCTCAAGCCTTTTTATACTTATTTTCTTTTGTCCCCATCTCCAGTTCCTTTTCCACCTTCCTGTGGCTGATTATTCTAATATTTCTAGTGTATATAGGTTGTGTTGTTCTATGCCTTCAGCCTAGACACCGAATCAGTGAACACTCAAATGTTGCTCCTGGGGGAAATCCAGTTTCTGTGAGCCTCTGGTCACATGTTTTTCAGTAGATCAGTGCTTAACCTTGCTTTGTGCGTATATGAAGACGTCTTACTTAATATATATATATATTCTTGAGGCATTAACATTGAACTCATGCCAGAAATCCTGGAGCTCGTGCCTGAATGAAGCTTATCTAACACGTACTTGGGAACATTGCAGCCTTCTTGCACTTATGTACAATAGACAGCACTATAGCACAACACAGAGGCTGCTCAACACTCGAAAATCACCAACCAAGACTGCCAAGAATTTTGAAAAATGCAGTAAGTAGTCTGTGTAAGGGATACTTACTGTAGAATGAGAGCTAAAATAAAAAGACAAAACATCTATCATCTTGTTTGACCTCAGCTAGGAAAGTACACTTTCAGAATTCTTTCTTCTATTTTACATCCTTTGCATTCTGGAATAATGCTTTATATTATTTTCATAGTGAATATGTCTTTAGGGTTTTTATTGCTAATGTGAAGTGAATTTCTTTTTTTCTTCTCTGTACCGGGGATTGAACTCAGGACCTATGCTTATGAGGCAGGTGTATTGCCACTGCACTAAATCCCAGGCCCTGAACTATTTAATTACATTTTCTATTTTGTTTCTACTAGTGCATAGAATTGCTATACTCTTCATGTTAATTTTATATTCAGTAACTCATAGACTCCTGTTCTAGTAGTTTGTTATATTGTTTTATTATAGTTATTTGGCTTCCATTCCAAGTATTTTTCTTGTTTCTTTGTATTAAATATGCTCTCCAGGGCTCTATTAGAAGGAGGAGTGGTAGCAGACATGTTTTTCTTGTTCCTAACAAATGGAAATAGTCCTAGACTTTCATTATTAAGTATGGTATTCACTGTAGACTTTTTAAAGTTTAAACATTTTCTTTTGTTCTTAGTTTGCTGAGTATTTCTATCATGAATGAATGCTGGACTTTTCTTGGTTGTTTCTTCTGATATGGTTATGTGAACATACAGTTTTTTAGACTTGTCTTTAATACACAAAGATTTGCTGCCTTTTAAATGTCATGTAGGGCCGGGGATTTAGTGGTTCCGCCGCCTGCCTTGCAACACAAGGACCTGAGTTTGTTCCCTAATACCAAAAAAAACTTATGTGATTTGAAAACCGATGTCTTTGATTTCATACTGCTTTATACATCAATACAGTATTTTGGAGGGTTATATATGTATGTTTTGAAATCTCACAGAACATTTTCTTTCTTGTAAATCTTCATTTATATTTGCCCTACATTTGCTTTGTATCATTTTTTTTTGTTTTGTGTTTATAAAATATTTTATTTTGATTCTTTTTTTTTTAATTTATTGTTGGTACATTTTAGACATACATAATGACCACATTCGTCATAGGAAATTTGTGCCTATACGTGATATATCTTGATTCTTTTGTTGTTCTTGTTCTTGTTGTTTTGTTTGTTTCTTTTTTTGAGGCAGGGTCTCAATGTATTTGATTACGTGATATATCTTGATTCTTTTGTTGTTCTTGTTCTTGTTGTTTTGTTTGTTTCTTTTTTTGACACAGGGTCTCACTATGTAGTTGAGACTGACCAGGAACTCACTATGTAGCCCAGGCTGGTCTCGAACTCACAGCGATCCTCCTAGGATTACAGGCGTGTACCACCGTGCCAGGCTCTCGATTCTTTTTTCTTTTTTCTTTTTTAAATTCCATTCCTTTACCCTTCCTTCAACCCCTCTTCCCCTCCTTGTTTACAAATGTTTTGTTTCCTTTTTTCCTTCTTTTCTTTTCTTTCCCCTTCCTTCTTTTCCTCTGCCTCCCTCCTTAGTTCCTCTACCCATTTGAACATGGAAAATTTTCTCATTCCTTTTCCTTTTTTTAAGACAGGTTCTTGCTGTGTGTCTCAGGCGGGCCTTGAATTTGCTGTGATCCTCCTGCCTCAGCCTCCCAAGTGCTGGGATTATAGGCATGCATCACCACACCCAACTTTACTCTCATTCTTGAAAGATATTTTTGCCCATACACAGTATGGATTTACATGTTGACATTACTTTTGTGTTGTGGGCGTTGTTCCACTGTTTTGGATTTAAATTGTTGCTGTGTTCTGCTGCTAAAAAGTAGTTGACCGACTCTCTTTCCTTGGATGGTACTTTGCTTTTTACCTGGCTACTTTTAAAAGATCTACTGTGTTTTTGTAGTTGTACTCCCAGGTGTCTTGGTGTGGACTTCCTTTTGTGTATCCCTTATATCTCTTGAGATTTGTTGGGCTTGAGTCTGTGGATTGACTCTGTAAAATTCTAAGCTGTTTTCGCCAGGTATTTTCTTTGCCTCTTTCTCTTTTCTTCCTTTAGGATTTTGGTTAAATATATTTTAAATCTTCTTGCTCTGTTTTATGCTGTCTTTGATGTTTTCCATCTGTTTGTCTCTATGTTGCTCTGTGGATGATCTCTTTTGCTTTATCTTCCAGTTCATGGATTTTCTCTTTAACTCTATCTAATTTGCTTGTTTCAATCCATTTATGCTATTATAACAAAATGCCTTAGACTGAATAATTTTTAAATATTAGGAATTTATTTCTCATAGTTCTGGAACCTGGGAAGTCCAAGATCAAGGCTCCCGCAGAGTCAGTGACGACTGGTGAGGGCTTGCTTTGCCTGCTCTGGATGGTGTCTTCTTGCGTCTTCACTTGGTGGAAAAGGGAAGAAAGGGCAGATTTATTCCTTTTTGTAGTCACTAATCCCTTTCATGAGGGTGGAACACTTAATCACCTCTTGCAAATGGCTCCCCTCTAAAAAGTACAGTATCCCGTTGGCACTTAAGGTTCAATATAAATACACTAGTTTTAAATGAACACATTTAGACCATAGAAACTATGAATTGAGTTTTAAATTTAATTTGTTTTTAATTTAGGAATTATGCTTGATTCTTTTTCACATCTTCTATGCTTTTGCTAGGGTTCTTTTTCCTGCAGATTTCTTTAAACTTTTGTTTATTTAAATATAGTAAGCGCTGTCATGGAGTTTGTGAGTATAATTTCTAAGATTTAAAGTCTCATATTTATATGCTTGCTTTTGTTTCTGCTGATTGTGACTCATGCTGTCTTCTTTTAAATTTGTTTGACTGGTTTGGAGACCCCAGAGGAAGTGTCCCGCTACTGAAAAGGATTTGTGTGCTTCAGCCAAAGAAAAATTTAAATTAATTCCTTCTGGCTGCACTTTTGCCTTGGTCATTCCTCATGATTGATCCTAATGTCTTTCAACCATTTACTATATTCTTAAGAAGATTTCAGACTATTTTTATAGCTCTTGTAGTTGTATCATTGGGGGGTTATTGTAAATAATCTTATCTACCCCTACCATAAATAAATCTTAACGTTTACTAGCTTTTAATTTAATTCGGCTTTCTGTTTCATTTTTTAGATCCGCTCAGCATATTTTGAGTTAGTTTCTGCTCTGTGCCAGCGCATTCCACAGGTGATGAAAGAGGAAGCTTCCAAAGTGAGCCCATCTGTTCTGCTTAGCATTGATGACAGCGACCCCATTGTCTGCCCCGCTCTGTGGGAAGCTGTACTCTATACACTCACGACAGTTGAGGTGGGTCAGAGGGGCACGTTTGATACATGTGGGAATACTTGTCTTCCTACTTATGTTTTAGAACCCTCAGACATGATCTGATTATTATTTCTAAAACTTACTGGAAAGTGTTTTTCCAGGGGATAAAATATTTATTTATTCTTTTGGTACCGGGGATTGAGCTTGGGTCCCTTCGCTTGAAAGGCAGATGGTGGAACCACTGAGCTAAATCCCTGGCCCTGGGATAAAATATTTAAATATAAATTTGATACAAATCTTAAACTGAGTATAAAATGAGTTTTTATTTTACTTGCTGTTTATGTCCTATTGCCATCAGCATATCTGAATCATATATAAAAGAAAGTACAGACATTTTGATGCTATGTCTTTTTAAGAAAGCAGCTTTTATAGAAGTTCTTTAGGGCCGAGGACTGAGCTCAGTGGCACCACACCCGCCTTGCAAGTGAAAGGTCCTGAGTTCTATCCCCGGTACCACAGAAGCAAGTCCTTTACATTAAATAAATATTTCTGGTCAGTATTGTCTTATAAGTTTATGGAATATGTGATTAATATGTGTAATGCATACATGTATTTTAACGGTGGTGAGAGATTTTAGCCTTTTTAGGTAAACCACTTGATTTTTATTTATTTTATTTTAATTTTTGGTACTGGCGATCAAACTCGGGACCTTGTACTAGCAAAGCACGCAGCGGAACCACTGAGCTAAATCCCTGGCCCTCTTGATTTTTATTGTTGAGAGCCCATATATTTTTGAGTCTTGTAACTGGGGAAGTATATTCATGATCTTTTATTACTGTTGTAATCTTTTCTTTGGTTAGGACTGTTGGCTTCATGTAAATGCAAAAAAAAGCGTGTTTCCTAAGCTGTCAACTGTGATTCGTGAAGGTGGCAGGGGCTTAGCTACTGTCATATATCCTTATCTTCTGCCGTTTATTAGCAAGCTTCCTCAGTCCGTTACAGATCCAAAGCTGGATTTCTTCAAAAATTTCCTCACCTCTCTGGTTGCAGGGTAAGGAATTTAATTCTCAGTTTTCAAAGCAAAAGATATTATGTTATTTTCATTCTTCTCTTCTCTTTTCTTTCTTTTTTTTTTTTAGGCAGGGTCTCACTACATAGTTGAGAATAATCTGGAACTCACTGTGTAAGCCCAGGCTGGTCTCGAACTCACAGCGATCCTCCTGCCTCAGCCTCCTGAGTGCTGGGATTATCGGCGTGTACCACCTTGCCTGGCCATGCTCATTATTTTCTTTCTTATTTTAATTTCTCCAGGTTATTTTGCTGGTTATTAAACACTACTGAGATTTTAGAGATGTACAGTTGGATTTCTTTTCCTTCCTTCCCTTCCTTGCTCACTCTCTCCCTCTGTCCCTCTCTTCTCCATCCCTCTCCCCTCTCTCTCTGTTATTTCTTTCTTGGTCTCACTATGTTTTCCAGACTAGACTTGAATTCTTGGGTTCAAATGATCTTCCTGCCTTAGCCTCCCGAGTAGCTGGGATTTATAGGCTCCAGCTCAGAATTTTTGCTTTGAATAGTTCTGAGCCTTCTGTGGTAGTACCTAGCATAAAGTTAGATGTAAAGCTCATAAATGTTGGTAAATGAAAATGTCCAAATGCAGAAAATGATCCAGTAAGATTTTTTAAAGTTTGCTAAAAATTGTTTCACTGCATTTGTTGAAATTAATACAAATATAATTTTATTAATGATTACTGTTTTAAACTACAACATTTCTCCTTTAAGTCCTGTCTTTCAAATTTGTAGGTGGATTGATTCATGTGCAGAAAATTAATATTTTTTTGGAGATTTCTTCTTTTCATAATTTTTCAGGCTTATATTCTCATTGGTTGCATCTATTTTGGTTGTTCTTAGTTTTTAGTTTAAGAGTTTTATTTTTAAAAGATCTTTTGATATCTTCCTTTGACCTCTTCTTTTGATGCCTTTTCAATGTCTTCATTTTGGTGATTTTAAGTTATTCGTGAAAGAGTAGTCCATAATTATTTATTATTTCATAGGCTGTCAACAGAGAGAATCAAAACCAGCTTTACAGAGTCCTCAGCAGTAATATCTGCTTTTTTTGAATGTTTACGTTTCATAATGCAGCAAAACTTAGGTGAACAAGAGATTGAACAGATGCTCGTCAATGACCAGGTACTTATACCATGAAAATCAGCAGTGCCTTTGCCCACTGACTATAAAGAATAATTATATCTTACAGCTTTTTTAGTCATTAGCCTTTCATGTAAAGACTTCATTATTGTAATTTACCCATTGAATAATTAGTAAAAATTCTGTACTGTCAGTTGCTAGTGTAGTATCGTAATGGCTGAGGTCAGCATTAGGCTGATTAAATATATCTGGTATTTGGATTTAGAAGCTGTTTTAGAGAGATGCAGCACAAAACAGATTTTGGAGGATGCTATATGGGAGCTTAAGTTTAAATATGGGAGTATTAAGTTTAAATCATGCAGTAATCATCTTGTTATTAATAAATACTTGAATTTATTTATCTCTTTGTGCATAGTTGGGCTTGGCTTTTAGATTCAGTGATGAGACCAGATTCTGGAATATAGTTCTTTATGGTAGAAAGTTAATGAGATTATAGAAGCTCAGACTTTAGTAGTTGTGTTAGATAATTAACTTATCTTTTTATTTTAAGAAAAAGGGTTCTAAATTCTGTGGGCCCTAAGTGTTTTTTCATAGTGGTTATAGTCTCATATCTTAAATATGCCTCTGATTAAGGCAAAAAAGCGAAAAATTTGAATTACCATAAAAATACAAAGAAAAACCCGATCATGATCAGTTATATCATAAGAAAGTAATTCAGGTGGAATGTGATGAAATCAATATGCTTTTTTGAAAAATGATCTTTGAATTGTGTTTAAAATTTACTTCTCTTGAAAACAACTTATATATTTTTTACCTTCTCTTTCAGCTGATCCCTTTTATTGATGCAGTTCTTAAGGAACCGGGATTGCCACACGGGCAACTATTTAACCATTTAGCAGAAACTTTAAGCGCTTGGGAAGACAAGGCAGATGTGGAAAAAGATGGCAAAACCACTCATAACTTGGAGAATGTACTGCTCAGTTTTTGGAAAAGATTGTCAGAGATCTGTGTCAAGAAAATCAATGAGCAAGAAGCTGATGTTAAATCTGTTTTGGGTGTATCTAACTTATTACAGGTTCTCCAGAAGCCAAAGAGCTCATTGAAGTCAAATAAAAAAAAAACTAGTAAGGTTAGATTCGCTGATGAGACGCCTGAAGATAATAAAGAGAATGAACAATGTGTATCTTCAGAAGGGGAGAACAACGAAGGCTCCGAATCCACGACTGAACCTTCTCTCCATCTCGATTCTTCCAGTCTTGTGTCACCTCTGCGGAAAAAACCTTTGGAAGACTTAGTCTGTAAACTCGCAGAGATGAGTATTAAGTACGTCAATGAACAAATGTCAGAGCCACATCTAAGGTTTCTTTCTCTTCTGCTTGACTCTTTCTCGTCAAGCCAAGTATTTAAAATGCTCCTTGGTGATGAAAAAGAGAGTATTGTTAAAGCCAAACCACTTGAAATAACCAAACTCATACAAAACAATCCTGCAGTGCAGTTTTTGTACAGAAAACTGGTAGGTTTGCTAAATGAAGATCAGAGGAAGTACGCGGATTTGCTGGTGGACATTTTGTATAGCGCCCTCCGTTGCTGTGATGGTGACATGGAGAGAAAAGATGTCCTGGATGATCTAACCAAGGTATGACTGTTAGGTATCTTTTAAATTTATTTTAATGCTAGTTGAGAGGATAAGTGCATCATGGGGATTGTTTTGTGTGACTGTTTGACTATAAATAGCAATTTAAAGATGCAATGTATTCTTGACTGTGATCTGGGAAGTTCTATGTAGATGTTCAGTGATAACGACGGCAAAAGGTTGTTAATAAAAAGGTGAGTTTGATTAGCTAAATTAAGTTTTGTATTATATTGAGTATGTGTTTACATTTTAAGTTTTACTGTTCTTTCTAATACATTGATTTTTAACTCTCTTCTTTCAGGAGGACCTGGAATGGAATTCTCTTCTTCAGGTTATTGAAAAGGTATTTGGGGTTTTTTCTTTGTCCAACAATTTTGGATTCATGGGATAGAAAAATTAAAACCATTGTATTGATACACTGAATATAGTCAGGCAGGCAGGTGTCTGTGTTAGAGAACTTCCTTACAATTATAACTTTACTTTTAATTTGAGAAGACATTTATCTTTGCATTCATATACTATAGTGTTTTTTGGGAGGAGGGGTTATGAAAAGCAGAGAAAAACAGACTGGCTCTGAAAAATACCAGGTTTCTTTCCTAATGGATAACACAAGGAGAATGAAATGTTATATTATCTTTTAATCAAGGCTGTAAGTTTCTACTCTTATCCTAGTTACATTTCCTTCTGTAAAAGTGAATTGAGTAGTTTGAGCTTTGGCTAGAGCATATCAGGAAATTAAGTTTTCTCCACTTTGTAATACTATGCAGACAAATTAAGACATTCCAGTATTCACGTGATATGCCATTTGACTAAATAAAAAGGTGAAGCTGGGTGTGGTAATAACCCAGCACCTAGAGGCTGAGACAGGAGGACCACAGATTTGAGTCCAGTCTGGGTAACTTAGCGATTGGACAAGACCCAAAGCCTTTGCACCAAGTTCTGTCTTTAAAAAACAAAAAGGGGCTTGGACATGTAGCTCATTGAAAAGGACACAACTTAGCACTTTTAAAAATGGCTCACTAATTAAGAGGTAAATGATATAACTAACATTTTTCCGACTATGCATATGTTGTCCTGACTAGCTATGTACCAGTCTTCCTCCTCTTGAAACATTTTTTGATGCTTCATTTTATAAAGATAGCTTTTGAATTTGTCTTTTTTCTATTTTAAAATTGTTTTTTAAAAACACATGACAGGGCTGGGGATTTAGCTTAGTGGTTCCACTACTTGCCTTGCAAGCTCAGGGACCCAAGTTTGATCCCTGATACCAAAAAAAATAAAAAACCACCAACAAAAAAAACCCACATGACATAAAATAGACCATGCTATTCATTTCTTCCTTTTGTTTTTTCCTTTTGGCTGGAGATTGAACCCAGGGCCTTTTATATGCTAGGCAAGAAGTCTCATCACTGAGTCATACTCTAGCCGGTATTGGTGAACCTAGGGCATGCATGCCACAGCAGGCTGTTTGTAATCCTTGAAAACCCTGAAAGGTTTGCCATCACTGCTCTAGTCTCATCCTAACCACCTGTGTGAGAGTGTGTGTGACAGAGAATTGAACCCAGAGCCTTTGCATTGAACTCCGTGTCCAGCCCTTCTTCTACTTCTTGGGAGAGAGGATCTTGGCTGGGCTCAAACTTACCATCCTCTTACCTCAGCCTCCTAGAGTGCAACTATTTCTAAATGTATAGTTCAGTAACATGATAAGTATGTTCTTATTGTTTTGCAAGCAGTCCCTAAAACTTTCACCGTGCAGAATCGAAGCTCAGTGTTCATTAAACAGTAACTCCCCATTTTTCCTAGTTGTCAAAATAAATAGAGTACGTAGTAACTTCTTACTATTCAGTAAGAAATACATCTGTGCACGTCATGTACACTAGTTTATCCAGTGCCTTCACTCCTATAGGCAAGCTACATGAAAAGCCAGTAAGCTTAGAATCAGAGCAAGGGAATCAGTAATTGGTAGGAGTAAACGGATATATACACTTCAGCCTTATAAAGATCCCTGTCAAGTTGGAAGAATATCTTCTTCCCGGGCCGTTCCTTGCTTTCTGTGACTCACTAGGCTTCTCTTTCCATAGCTGCACTGATTCATTTATTAGAGATGTTGAGATTGAAGGATTTGTCTTGCTAATTTGGGAGAATTATTCAGAAGTTTATTTTCTGTACAAGGGTTTTACAGATTGGTTTTGTTTGGTAAACTACATAAGGAAAGCCATCTAAAGTATTTTTCTTGACCATGTTTCTTTATGAGCAGAGTCCTAAAGTCAGTTTATTTAAAGACAAACAAATAACCTGAATTTAGGAACCAGAAAAACATTGAGTTTCTGGAAGTTAAAATTTTTTGTTTTCAAATTAGGAGACAGGCTTAGGTTGGCTAAGAGATTTGTCCAAGGTCAAAAAGCCAGTTTAATAGTAAAGCTTGTAAATAGTAAAAGGCAAGCTCTAATTACCTATAAATTTTTAAATAAGCAATTTTTGAGGCATTACCCAATCTGCACTTGGATTTTTTTTTTTTCCAGATTGCTTTGAGATGAACCAAGTTGCAAATTCCTTTCTTCTCAGCCCTTAAAGCAAAAGAAGCTCTGGGAACATGGATCAACATCCTTTTGGGGGTGGATTTGAAAATTTTTTTCCTTCCCCTACCTCCAATGAAAATAAATAAGTTGCTGTCAGATTCATAGACCCCAGTAACTGTGTTTCGGAGACCTTGGGGAAAGAAGTCCTATTGTTCCTATTGAAGTCATTTGCCATTATATATAAATTGTTCTTTAATTTTAGCAAAATCAGTGAACAGAAATATCTGTAGAGCGTTTATAGATCTACAGAGTTCATGCATTATTCATTGAACATATCTGCAGTGTTAATAGGTATCAAAGAAGTTTAAGACAGTTTCTGCTCTCAAGGAACTTACAATCTCATTGGAAAGACAAGATATACACAGATGAAACATTTAAATAATAATACAATCCAGTAAGTGCTTTAGACATTCAGAGAAAAGCAGCAATCATTGTGGGCTATTGTGGATGGGGGAGATTTCATAAATAAGGTGGGATTTGTATGAACTTTCAAAGAATGGATAGGATTTGATAAGTAAGCGGGAATATTTATAGTTGGAGGTTATATTAACAGCGTGGAAATTGAACCAAGTTAGCCTTAGGTGGGGAACAGTGAAAATATCAGTCTTCCTAGAACTTCTGGGGGAGTGGGGACAGAGATGGGGCCATAAGATGAGAGAATATGGTATAATAATTGGACAGATATACCTTTTTGATCTTGCTTCTAATATTTGCTTTAATTTTATGGTTTTAGGCATGTTCTAGTTCAGATAAACATGCTTTAGTAGCTCCTTGGTTAAAAGGCGATACTCTTGGAGAGAAATTGGTTGCCCTGGCAGATTGTCTTTGTAACAAGAACTTGGAATCCACAGTATCTTCACAATCTTACTTCTCAGAACAATGGACTCTTCTAAGCTTGGTATTATCCCAACATGTTAAAAATGGTAGGGAAAATATGGCTTTTGTTTTCTAGCAGGGGATAATAATCCTTTTCACCTTTTGGAACGATTCATGCTGCTTGGTTTGCATACTGTTGATTGAAAATAATACTTATCCATTCAAATATCTTTATTTTATAAGCACCCTAAATATTTGTAATTGTAGTAGGACTTGGAAGATATTCTTAGTTTTATATTCAGAGCTCTTGAGTATACAAAGCTGTTCACTCTTGCTTTTGTAAACTACTGCTGTGTTTTAATTCAAAACTGCCTTTTTACCTGAGGGCTTTTGTGTGTCTGAGGACAGACTGATTTGTCATATAATGTTTTTCTAATACATGAGTACCTTAACAAAAGCCCATATAGAAACACCCACATGGGGGTTGGGGATGTAGTTTAGTGGTGCCCACACCTGCCTCAAAGTGTAAGGTCCTGAGTTCTATGTTCTATCCCTAGTACCAAAAAAAAAAAAAAAAAAAAAAAAAAAAAAAAAAATGTTTAA